GTATGCAGGAAGAAGGAAGACACAGATAAAAAGCTTACAGATAGATATATGCAAGTGATATATATTTTATGTACAATTCATCCAAGGTATCGATAATTTATCGATAAACATATTCAATTAGTAGATGCATTGAAAGATTAGCATTGGCAAAGGGAATACGCAAAGAGATAATAACATATTTGTTATTCCATTTAGTTGAGCTATCGATAAATTTTCGATACACATACTCAATTAGTAATTAAACGATTTGCGATTTATCTAAAACCAATTCTAAGTATAAATACTTGGACTTAGCTCACTGCCAGTTATATATTTAACTTGAATTTCTTCTTGACTCACACTCAACTCCCTCCCCCTCGCGCATAGAACCATTAGTCCTCTACAGCTCTCGACTTAAGTCTGTGCAAGTGCTGCTCTGGCACGATGTCGATAACAGTTCAACTTGCTTCGCATTCACGCATAATTACACACACACACACACATACACACTCACACACACATACACACTCACACTCTGTGTATGCAGTTGAGCTGTGCGTGTGCGCACATCTTTGGGGTCGCAATTATAAGTACTCTCTCACTCCCTGGCTCTCCCTTTGATAGAGAGAATATCTGGGCAGACGAACTCTGTCAAGTCACTTCCTGTAATAGAAACCAAAACTGAACCGAACGTGCGGCATGCAACTAAAACGTGTACACAAATCCATTTAACGTATCAGCCCTTGGACCACAGCGGCAATAGCAACAGCTACAGCTACAACAAGAGAAACAACATCAGCAACAGCTTCCGCTTTAACAGATGCAAATCTCGAGGCGCCAATGAAAACCGCATTGGGACGTTGACTTCTCAGAGCAGAGCAGAGCAGAGCAGAGGGAGACATCAAGCAACAGCCGCAGATCAAAACGTAAATAGGGCGGAAAATTATGCGTAGATAGTTGAAATTGATGCGTAAACGACTCATAGATACCCTATAAATAGTTAAGAGTTAGAGCTGAGTGAAATTGCCAGTTGTCATGGAATACCCTATAGACTGCATATAGATAGCGCGATTATTGAGTTTCCCAAAACCCCTTACAGAAATTCCCATTCTAAGCTGCTGCTACTTAACATATGCTCTATATAATAGGTCTACTAGTGACCCCACTTGTGACATGTTACCTCATTGTGCTTAAATTTCACAAACCATTTCCTTTAGGGTGTCTCAATAATAAACAATCATTTTGACATCTGCTGCTGTGATGCGGGCTTCACTCCTTGTGACTCCCCCCTTTTTCGTAGTCTACTATGCTCTTTCCTCTCTACATTCCCTCTTCCATTGGGGCATTTTGCCCTTAAACCCTTTTTAGCTTTTGGCTTAAACGTTTTTCCGCTTCTTTATTTTCGCAAAATGGTTGTATTCCTGTTTTTGGAGTTTTATGCACGATTTGGTAATTTGCCTGGCTACTGGACAAGAATCTGGGTCTCAGTAGATTGCAGAGTGTAGAGTAGATCACAGCACGCTTCTCAGACGCTTCTCGCTCACTCCCTCTCTCTATTTTGCTTTTGCTGCTGCGCATCTTTGTTTACCTTTTGCTTTGCCCTTTGGCAGCTGGCCTTTAAGCTTAAGCTCTTTCAAAGCATTACTCAACTGAGCTTATGCTTCCTATATATATACATATATGTATGTATATCGTGTCTTGAAAGTGGTTTCCGCTAAAAGTTCAGCAACAAAAATGTGGAGCACAATTTGCATGTTTGCGTAGAGGAAATGGCTGCCACAAGAAGTCTAGTATTATTATATTTTATAACTGAACGCAGTTAGATAATTGTTGTGCTTTATATGTACAAAAGATATAGCAATAACTAGCATATATATGCACAAGATACGATTCAAATCGAATCAGTGAAGGCCAAGTCGGTTTCTATTCAATGGCCACTCTTAGGGCTTGAGACTTGGTTCAAGTGTCGCTGGCTGATTATGACACTGACAGCAACTGTCAGCGCGGCAATTACAAACGAGTTACAAAGATACAAAGATACATAGATACGTAGTGACATATAGCAGCTCAGATACAGCCACAGATACGCACTTACAAAAGCTATCTATACAAGGGCCACAATGCACAAAGCACGAATGATAAATGCAAACAAACAAAAGCGCGACAAAAAAGAAAAGAAGAAGAAAAGCATGTAAAAGTGTTCTTGCAAAGACTGATCAACTAGCAGTTACCCTGTAATAGAAGTCGGGCTTTGTTGATGTGAAAACTTGGGCAATTTCTGCTTCAAAACGACTCTGTACAATAGTGAAGACTATATAAGCTGCTTCTAGCAGCAACATACATTTGAGTAGAAACATCAGCACCGCTTAGACACTTGCTATGGATTTCCACAGTATAAAAAGAAAAGTATAAGAGTGCCAACAACAAAAGCCGATTGCCTAAAGAACTCGAGTGTTTGCATATATATATATATATATATATAGATATATGTGTGTGTGTAGATGTTTGTGTATATGTGTGTGCGTGTGCATTTGGAAAAGCGCAGTGAAAAGCATCGAGAGAACAAGTTGAAGAAAACGACGCGCAGCCAGCACAGTCGCTGCTGGGCAGTGTAAATGACCTCTCAAGATAAAGTTGCTGTTGCTGCTGCTCGAGTTGTTGTTGTTGTTGCTGTTGTTGTTCCAGTTGGTGTTCGAGTTGTTGGTGCTGCACGTCGAATTGCAATTTCCGCTAGTGCGGAAATAAGTTTTTGTTGTAGCTGCTGCTTTGCATAAATATTGAATCATTAGCCAAAGGTAGATTAGATATGAATGCAATAAACTGTAACAATAGATAAGCTGCACAGAGCAAGAAGGTTGCAGCCGGGTGGGATGAACTGCTTAATACGCCTTCATGGTGTTACAAACTGTTAAATTTAATCAAAATTTAATATTTCCGTATTTGACCTCAATAAGGGGTCAGATGATTCAAAGGCGTTTCGGTGGAGCAATTTGATGATCCTGAATAAGCTCGAAAAATATAGCTCCTCATTTTTGTTCAATCTTTAGAGGCTGCTTGCTCTAAAACAGTGAAATATGTCCAAATGTCCAAATTTTAAGTCTCTTGTATACAAAGTGGTGAAATAGTTTGCATTCACATGGAGAGACTGCTAGCACATTGCAAAAAACCCATATACTCTTTTTGTAAATGAGTATAAAGACTGCAGATAGTATTAGGCAAGCAGAGTGACTAGATTAGCTAACGAGTGCTTTTGGCTGATTCATATTCCTGAATTATTAAATAATATATGATTCAGTCATTAGTTAAATAACACAAGAAGTGAATGAATTCTTATCTAATAAATGTTATATGTGTTATAAATGATATGAAATAATATCATATGATAAAAAGCTGATGAAGAAGTTAATGAATTAGAGTTTTATTAGCCAAATATAACACTTATAGCTTATAAGACTGCTAGTTTCCTTGCTAGCTTCTTATTTCATATAAACACAGGCCATAACAGTTTCAGCTCAAATGCTTACAGCTTGGCTTTGGGGTTACTTGGTTAACCGCATAAATTTGAGTAGACAGAGGTAAAGAGAGATGGCCAGAAAGAAGGAGAGAAAGAAAGAGAACTGTGCAAGCACGTAAAGCTCGTATGAAAAATGGGGAAAATTGGAGAAACATTTAAATGGGTCACAGCTCGTGTTGCACTAAGCAACGAGTTGCTAATGGCTTTATTTATATGCTCGTGCCTCGCGGCTCGTAACTCGTAACTCGTAACTTCCCAACTCGTAACTCATAAACTGCAAAAGCAAGACAATCGCTTCCTGTCCACTGACTTTGGCATTGCCACACACACACATGTAGTTGGGACACACATTGACATATCAATTAACAATTAGGCATTGCATTAGCGCAATTAGCCTGCAAATTGATTAAAGCTTTTCGTAGCACTTGTCGCGCACGCACATAACATATAAATCAAATGCTCTTCGATATCAGTTTTTCATTTTTGGGTCACATTGTTCATGGCTTTCATTTTCCGATTGCCCCCTTTCTCCCATACATACGACGATTCAAAAATAAATGCCAGATTTTTAATGCTCTGACAACATTTGTTATGGAGAGGGTATATTGGTTTTTTAAGTGTTAGCAACTTGTGAAGGGGACGCCGGATTATATGATATGCAATATGTGTTTAGCTATATTGTCATTGTCTCTGTCTCTGTCTCTGCTTGTCGACTTGGCACGGTTTCCAGAGTATTTCCCAGTCGGTCACACCCGACTAGATCAGTTTTACTTGTTTTATGTTGCGCCCACACAATATCTCATTTTCCTCTTGCTCTGACTCGCCGCCTCTCTGCCGCGCTGTCTCTCTTTATAAGGCGCAAGCAAAAGCTTATTAATAAGCATAATTAAACATGATAATACTAATAATAATAATAATTTTGTTTTGAAATATGCGCTAGTTTTCATTACATATTATTTACGAGCGCATTATTACAACGCTTCAAGACGAATTTTGAAAATTTATGTGTTGTTGGTCGACTGGAGTAGGGGTAAGGGAAGTTGTTGCATGTGCCGCATGAATTTATGCCACATATGGCAACACATATGCAACATTTGGAGCTGTCTATATATATATTTCGGAAGTGTGGAGATTGCTTCTAAATGTAAATGATGCATTCACGCGTTGCTGATAACAAGGAGGCTGGGATTTCGAACGGTTTTTTTTGGAAATATAAAAACAAGAGAAACATGTTTTATGGGTAAACGAATCAGGTTTTATCCACACAAATTATAAGTAAAAAATATATGTATGTATATATGTGGTTAAATATAATTGAAAAATATTTTGAAATAGTTTTAAGGGCGTTTAAACTTGATAAAAATAGGAGTAATAAAAGATTTGGAAACTTTAGGCAAATGAATGGGAAATATACTATATTTTTATAGTTTTGGTAAAAGTAGCTACGTTTACTGAATATGCAGTTAATAATTTCCTTACTAATCCATTTATGAATATTGTTTTGCAGGTGCTGCCAAAACTCTGGCTGAGGCTCAACCGAATAAAATGTCGATAAAACGTAAAAATCTGAAGTTAATTTTCTTTGAACAGTGACGAAACAGAGCAATTTCGAAAAACAAAACGAAAACAAAGTGAAAAGTCAAGCCGAAGCTAACGAAAACGAATATACTATCGATTTGCATTCACATATGTATATGTATATATAAATATATATACATATTTAGTTAGAAGAAACAGAAAACGAAAATGGATCTTAGTCTCGAACGCGATAGCTCGGCGCTGGGCAGCTTGTTTCAACAGATTATCAATGACATGAAGGTAAGTGATCGATAAATTTATCGATAATTGTATAGCTAAAAAGTAAGTAGACAGCACACCTTTTGCGGAAGTCTATAAATTAGCAGGAAATATGTGCTATACAAGTTGGAGGAAACATTAGTTGTCTTTCCTCACGACTCGCTTGCCTTTCCAGTGAGAATGTCAGCTTCAGTTTCCAGTTCCAGTGAAACGAAACGTTTGCAAGTGGAACTAGAGACGTGTCAAGCGAATTGTTGACAGTTGTTTCTTTTCGCTTGAGACTTATTGAATAACAGAGCATATAAACTAAATAAATCAGAAACTCTAAAGGTCAGGTGTGTGTGTCAAGAACATTTTTCCAGGGTATTGAAAAGATATGTATATATATAAAAGTTAACCAAAGACCAGCAGAAATAATTAAAGCCAAGGTCAGAGCAATGTGAACTGTGTGCGAAATAAACAAAACTTTCCGATAAACAATTCCGTTGCGATAAAAGATACACACAAGTATGCTGGTTGCCAATTCTCAAGGCTCTACTGTACATAAATATGTCAGAGAACAAACGAATTGCGTCTAATTGATTTTTTTGCACTCTCTCTCTTTTTCTCTTTGTCTCCCTCTCTCTCTCGGCGTCTGAGTCTATTGGCTGAAATGCCAAAAATAAGTGATTCAATTAATCTACGCGAGTTCAATAAAAAATATAGATATGTTTGCTTCTATCATTAATTAGTGTTTGATGCCCTGTAAATTACGTTCCAAAACAGCATATTGGAAATGTAACTGAAAATGAATGAATGGGAAATGGAATACTTTGTAGGAGAAAGCTTATTTGATAGATTTATTATGCCTGATTGATGTTTTTAAATTGTGTAAGCTGCTGTAGCAATTATAGGGTATTTGTGATTCGGTTCAGCATCTTGTTGTCTGCCTATTGTGCGTTGCTTAGTCTATTGCCACACAAAACACATTATATTTATCTATTTAATTGCAGTGTATCAATAATTTATAGCAATCATGACGCCATTCGCTCTATACATAAATGTTTTTTATATTAGCTGAATGTAATGGTTACTTCAATTAACAGCAGAGCATATATGTATAAGAAAGTAGGGTACGTCTAGGGTATATATATATATATACACATACTTATATATACATACATACTATATTTGGCAATTAAAAGTTCTAGACTTTAGTCTAGGCTTTTGACGTAAGGCCTATTGACAGTCAGATCAACTCGATCATGCAACATAGTTTATTGCTTCCAGGGTATTTATAGTCTACTATTTTTAGCTCAACTGGAAAGCTATGAAAATTTCGGCTTCTCTTCCAGAAATGCTTTGAGACCATTTCCGACTCGGCTGTCGACAGGTGTTGTGCATTTCGACGCCTTCGCTGGTACCGAAAGATAAAAGTGTGCCGCGCCCGCTTTTAGCTATTTTTACAGGTAAAGATACAGATACAAATGCAAACGGAGATACAGAGATACAAACGGCAGTGCAGACAGCTGTCAGGAATTGTGGATGCGGGCGACTGCATTTTGTATTTATGAAATTTATTTATTTTTTCTTTCGTATTTCGTATTTTTTGGTGGCCACGCAATTGTGCAGCAGTTCGTTGTACCCCATAGCTGTTAGCCATTTTCCAGCTATATGTGCTAGCTATTAGCTTGCTTTCCAGCTGTAGTTGCTGTTGTTGCCTGGCCTGAGTGCGAATTAGAGCAGAAACATGCCTTGAAGCATGTGCAGCGGCGGCAGCATCATCATTTAGTTGCTGCCACAGCTGCGGCGCATGGCTAAAGCGTCTGGCTGGCAATACACCCTGTACTAATTAGTAGCCATAGGGTATATTGACTATGTAGCCACAACTTTTTTGCTAACGCTTAAACAATGCAAAAATATGACTGTAAAGGGTATATTAAGCTAGAAACATATATATTGTTTACTTCACTTGCCAATCGGCTACCCTGTGCTGATGTGTTTCAGTCTGAGCTACTGCTGCGGGCTTAGTGCTCCATGCATTAAAGGGCACATTGCAGTTGTGTTTACAGGGTAGGGTACATCGCATTATTCAGCTACTATTCTAAAGAAAATTAGATGCCTTAGAAGATTTTCATGTCATGGTGTTTGGCTAGTCGAGCAACTTATGCTCTTGGCCTTTACTTTTTATTGTTGTCTAGTCTTTCGACCTGGCCAAAATGCAAATGTCAGCTGTTGGTGTTTAAGCAAACTTAACTTCAAATTCCAATTTCCGTGCAACTAAAATTAGTGTTTTTTTTTGTGTTTTAATTGCTTGGCTGCGTTTGCCATAGTTAAGTCTCGCTCTCCACCTTCTTTTCCCTCTCTTACTCTTTCTGTCTATCTATCTCTCTCCAGATATATAGCTGTTTGCGTATATTTAGCTTAGATCTTAAATGCCAGCAGACCGAAACAAATTTAATGCCCCTGCACCCAAGATGCGGGCCAAGGTGGATGGAAATGCGAATACTAAATAAATACATATATTTATATATATATAAATATATAAATATATATATATATAAAGCTCTGCTAACGGCATTCACAACTAGTTGCAATTAAATGCGGCTAATTTCAGTTTGAGTGCAGTCCGAAGTTTTCCGAGCTTCTGCTACATTGTAATTGTTGCTTAATCTTCTTTTCGTTTTGTTTTTAAGCAATTGGCGCTTTTTTTTAGAGGTTGTTCAACTTTTTCACTCGTCTCGCACGGCTGACTGCCAAACGACTTGTGCTAAGTGCAAATTCGTGAGTCTGTCATTCAGTCATTTTATCAGTCCGTCATTCAATCTGACTCTCAGTTAGTCAAGTTGTCGCATTCGGATGGCACTCGCTGAAATGTGTAACAGAAAAGACGCTGTCAGACACATGGCGGCTATAATAATCATACCCTGTAGCTAAACAGTGTTCAAATATAGGGTATGATTAACTTTAGATAGGTGCGGATATATGCGAGCTTGAAGCTAAACTCATGCTTAGAGTAAGAGTGAGAAAGTTGATAATTGATGTATTAACGAGGATTATGATAAGATATTGATATTCAAAGTCAGTCAGGTGATTGCTGATTACCGCCTAGACCTCCTCTTAATTGGGCTGCCTTCCCCCGCCCACCGGATGTTAACACCTATTAACCTTCAAGTCTTTCTGTTTACGCTAGCTGAGCATTTTCGTTAGTGCTCTTGCGCCTGGGTCACAACGCCTTTGTTCTTGCGAAATTGTTCCTTTATGGTCTCTTCTGTGACTTCATCACTATGTTTCCCTTGAATCTTTTAATGCGCATCCAAGACTCCATCATTTTGTCATTGTCACAAAAGTGAAATTCGCTTTCTGTGCCCTGTTGGCACTTTTCTGACTTCCCTTTCGGCTGCCCCACTTAGGCCTTTTAGGTAAAGCATTTGCTGTCGAGTGCGTAAGGTATTTTATTGTCTTTTAACTCGCATATGCGCTTTCGGTACGTTAATATGTGCGTAATAAACGGGAAAACGAGAAAATTGTGCTTTTACTCAAATACAGAAAAATTGTGAAAATTTGTAGCTCTATAAGATACAAAAGAAAATAGGCTCGGCGTCTAGGTAATTTTTATAGACGCATTCTGATCCTGCCTGAGTTTAGGTCGATATTTGCATCTGACAACCAGATAGTACATGACCAGATAGCTCAACCCATAGATGGTCATAAAGCTGGCACCCAGAAAGAGGCCTATAGCACCGCCAAACGACATGATCAGCTGATCCATGCTAAAGACAACGCGACGCTTGATGCCCATCTTGGGCAACTCTTGGTTTATGATAAACTTACGGTCAAACGTCTGTGAATTGGCTGCACCACCGCCATTCTAATAGATAGTAGATTGCATGAAAATGTTAACGGTATATAAACCATAAAGAAGAAAACTCACCGAATCTACTTTCTCAGTGACAGTAAAGCTGATCTCCTTGCAGAGGGGCATGCAGTCACAGGGCTGCTCGAGCCAGTTCTTTCGTGCTAGGCACACCATTTGCTTTATATTGCAAATGCGATCCTTTGGTCCTTGCACATAGAAAAAGGGTTTGCAATTGCAAAGATCCAGGGCCCGATTTATGCGACACTCCATGCGACAAAGGCTGGGATGATAGGGCTAGAATTTGTAATAGGAGCAGAAGTAAACTGAAAATAGATGTGCATAACACCTACTTTATAGTACTTGAGATTGTTCTCGTCGATATATCGGCACTTGCGATAGGCGATGGGCACATTGCGTACATCGTTCTCGGCCGAGAGGGAGTTGAGCATGAACTGTATGTGGTAGGTGCCCTTATTGCCCATATCAAGGGATACAGTGCGACGATCGTGTGGCATCAGAAACTCGTTCACATCGTGAATAAACTAAGTGAATAAAAAATGTTTACGAACTGTTATGCATACACACTAACGAAAGTATTTACCAGAGTTACCGTAGTGCCAACCATGGGTGCGTCGATAAGAGTGCGACAATTGTCGAAGTAGGTGCACATGCGAATAGGCACTGTGAGATTTTGCCTAACAATTGATGATATAGTTGAAAGATAATTATTAGAATATAGTATTCATAGTTACTGAGTTTGTCTCTCAAGCGCAAAGCCAAACTTCGCCAGTTGACTCGTTGTCAGACAGAGACCCATTTCGGTTAGGCTAGACACAAACTCGGGAACTTCTGGCTGCATCGGTAAAGTGTATATCAGCAATTTCCTTAGCATCCGAACATAAGGCAGATTCTGCATAGTCGTATCATTTTCGTAGGGTATCAATGTTTCCAAGTTGTTGTATTGCAATTTATTTAAGACATGCAAGAATTCGGTGTAATACTTCATCATGTCGGCGCTAATAGGAACTTCAGTGAGCTCAGCATAGTCGTTTTCCCAGATACTGTCAATTGTGATATTAATTCTCATAGTTTCCCTTAGCTCGGTATACTCACTCATTAATCAGCTTATGCGTTAAATGGGCGGGCAGCTGAGTATATTGCGTGCAGAGAGTGATCCCTAGAAAGGGAAAGGAGCGCAGCGCAAATAGATATTCGTATTCGTAGATAATGGGATTATTCTGATAGCGCAGCCATTGGGAAAGGCAGCTGTTGATCGCATAGTAGGCTGCTGCGATGATCGTGGCCAACCAGAAGATGCGCTCGAGAAAGTGGAGGTCCTTGCGTGCCAGATACGGCATTCCGTGTATGGCCGATTCCTTGCACACTTTCTTCCACCAATCAATCGGCTCAGTCTGTTCCTGATCCTCTTTCCGCTCTATCGTCTGCTGCCTGGAGCTGTGCTTGTCTTCCGTCAGGCTCGCCATAATGCACTGCATGTCCTGCCATGTGGCACACTTGCTTTTAAGTAGCTTTCCCGTCGAGTTCTATGGAAATGATGCGCTCTTTAACAAGGGTCCCGCCCACTACAAGTGATTAGTCCTTAATGGTATTCTGTTGTAGCTTTAATGTGTTTGCTGCATGCATAATCAATAAAATTGTGCTACGAATAAGAGCCATAGTAAATTTTTATATATATTAAACATAATGCACTCAAATACAAATATTGATATAGTTTCTTATTCAAAGTTCAAAGAAAATGGTGAAAATTGATTCAGTTGTAAGGTCAAATTTTATGAACAGTATAGGAGGTTGTAATTAATTAAATAATTTTGTATGCAAATATTTAAATTTGTTTCACACTTAATTCAGTTGCTTATTAATTAGTCAATGCATAAACTGTACAGATCACAATTTCTTGTTGAGATTAAAAAAAAAAAACAGGTTTTCTTTTTCTTCATTAAAGAAAAATATATGCCATGAGACCCTCGGTAGTTGCCTTCCCTTGATTGTTATAAGATTCTCGGCTTAACATATGTAGTTGAGTATTTTAATCGACCGCACATATTTAAGATTGTTTTCATATCATATAAGATTTCCAATATTTGTATATTATATGGTTACTGTTTATCTGTTAGTCCAACAGTAAAGCTCATATCTATGCGATTTTGATAGACGCATTCTGATCCCGCTTGAGTTTAAGTCGATATTTGCATTTGACAACCAGATAGTACATGACCAGATAGCTCAACCCATAGATGGTCATAAAGCTGGCACCTAGAAAGAGGCCTATGGCACCTCCAATCGACATGATCAGCTGATCCATGCTAAAGACAACGCGGCGCTTGATGCCCATCTTCGGGAGTTGCTGAGTTATAACTATGGTGCCCTCAAAGCCACTAACGCCATTCTTCGGAAAAAGCATAGGAAGATTGGGAAACTATGTAGAAGTATAGAAACTTACTATTTCCTTTTTCTCGGTGACAGTAAAGCTGATCTCCTTGCAGAGGGGCATGCAGTCACAGGACTTCTCGAGCCAGTTCTTTCGTGCTAGGCAGACCATTTGCTTTACATTGCAAATTCGATCCTTTGGTCCTTGCACATAGAAAAAGGGTTTGCAATTGCAAAGATCCAGGGCCCGATTTATGCGACACTCCATGCGACAAAGGCTGGGATGATATTGCTGGAATTTTGAATAAGAGCAGAAGTAAACTGGAAATAAATGTGCATGAAACCTACTTTATAGTACTTGAGATTGTTCTCATCGATATATCGGCACTTGCGGTAGGCGATGGGCACATTGCGTACATCGTTCTCGGCCGAGAAAGAGTTGAGAATCAATGTAATTTCATACGAGTTTAAGGTGTCCATATCGATGCTCACGGTGCGACGATCATGTGGCATCAAAAACTCATTTACGTCGTGAATAAACTGAGTAAATGTGTAAATACTATACATATAAAAAATATCATATATACAAACTAAGGAACCTACTTACCAGAGTAACCAGAGTTCCAGACACAGCTGGCTTGATTTGCGTCCGACAGTTGTCAAAGTAGGTGCATATACGAATGGGCACAGTGCGATTTTGCCTAAGTAGTGGATAATATAGCTAATGAAAGATAGTATTCAATATACCTACTCTATTTCTTTCTGTAGGGTATATCCAAACCTAGCCAGCTGACTCGTTGTCAGACAGAGACCCATTTCGGTTAGACTCGACACGAGGTCGGGAGCCTCACTCTGCTTGGGTACAGTGTTTTTCAACAATTTTCTTAACATCCGAACATAGGGCAAATTCTGCATAGTCGTATCATTTTCATAGGGTATCAATGTTTCCAAGTTGTTGTATTGCAATCGATGCAAGACATGTACAAATTTGACATAATATTCCATGCTATCGGGGTCAATCGCAACTTCAGTGAGCTCAGAAGAGTCGTCATCCCAGACACTGTCAATTGAGATATTACTTCTCGTAGTTTCCCTTGACTCTGCATACTTACTCTTTAACCAGCTTATGCGTTATATACGTTGGTAGCTCACTATAGTGCGTACAGATCGTTGTGCCTGCGTATGGAAAGGAGCGTAAGGCAAACATATATTCATATTCGTAGATTATGGGATTATCCTTATATCGTTGCCATTGTGCGATGCAGCTGTTGATTGCATAGTAGGCTGCTGCTATGATCGTGGCCAACCAGAAGATGCGCTCTAGAAAATGGAGGTCCTTGCGTGCCAGATATGGCATACCATGTATGGCCGATTCCTTGCACACCTCCATCCACCAATCAATCGTCTCAGCCTGCTGCTGTTTCTCCTCTTGATCTTCCTTCTCTAAGTCCTGCGTTTGCTTCTTGTCTTTGCCGTGAGTTGCCATGTTGCACTGGTGTTTCTGCATGAGGCACATTGGCTTTTAAATAGCTTTGTCGTCGACTCGTGTTGTAATGATGATGTAATGATGCCGTCTGCCAATTAAGGACCCCTTCCAATAAAAGGAGCTAGTCTCTAATAGTATTCCCTTGTAGCTTGAATTGCTTTCATGCATGCATATTTAATTAACATGTAAAAACAGGTGGGAATTTTGATTTAAATAAATATCTATTTTAAATTACAGAGATATACTAATGCATTGATGTTTTTTTAGGCTGGAAGGTTAGATTTAGGTTTGGTAGCTCATATTAACACTTGTATTTACATATGAACAACTTTTGCATAGAAATTGATATAATTTTAATGCAAATGCCGAAAATTGGTTTCACGCTCAATTCATTTGTTTACTAATCAAACTAATTTAGGAAACATTCAACATTTGTTTGCGGCATTCACGGTTGAAGTTTTGTATGAATATTGAAATTATGCATTTCTCAACTTAGTTGATACAGCATAAGAGTATTGGTCTCAGGGTCATGGGTGCGAGTTACACGTTGGATGGATGGATTTATATTTTCATATATATCAAAATGTATTTAACAATTATTAGCATTTTCATTCTTATAGATAATTATTTGCGCTTCAAGCCCTTAAAATTTTCATACTGCCCTCTTAAATTGGTTAGATTTGAATAATGTGATAATAAAATAATAGTACAATAAGTTCTTAAGCTATCCTGGTAAATTCTTTTAATTTTCGCCCCATGCCTTAAGAAGTTTTGTACATCCAGTCCCATATGCCCGGCTAGCTCAGTCGGTAGAGCATGAGACTCTTAATCTCAGGGTCGTGGGTTCGAGCCCCACGTTGGGCGGAGTTTATAATTTTTTATAATTCGTTTTTATTTAATTTTGTAAAATCCTATTTATATTTAATTCGAACCTGTTATTCTAAAAGTATGTAATCTGAATTAAAATGAAAATAATTATATTGATAGGTATTTTTTGATATATGTCATAAAATATATATATATATATATATATATTAGGGTAAATATATGTTACGATCTTTAAGTATTGTTATTGTTTTTCTACTTTTATAGTCCTTTCAGTTGCTATGCCTTGAAGGACTTTGTTACGTCTTATTCCCGTGGCCCGGCTAGCTCAGTCGGTAGAGCATGAGACTCTTAATCTCAGGGTCGTGGGTTCGAGCCCCACGTTGGGCGAGGTTTGATTTTTTATAATTCGTTTTCTTATTTAATATTTGTTTTTGTAAATTCCTATGTATTCAAATCGAAAATGTTTCGCTGTGCGGGGGTTATCTACAAATAGACGCACATTTATATTGGACTATGGCTAATAAGCTGTTATTTATAGCGCTCAACCTGAACAGTGGCAGCAGCAGCAATAACAACAACAATTATAATCACAGCGCTGACGCAATACTCGATGACAACATTTAGTTTTTTTTTTATTTTTCTCTCGATTGCTTGAAAATGGCTAAAAAGCGGCTTCAAGGCCACAGCAGCTCAACTTGTGGAAATGGCACAGTGCAATTCGCATTTGTATTGACGTTTTTTCTCTTATTTCTTATATATTTTTTTATATTAAATGTCGCTGTCGCTTGGCTTTTGTTAGCTCGCACTCAAAGAGAGTGCACAGGATGTGCAGCAAAGCCAAGCCAACTGAGAAACTAGGAAACTAGTGCAAGGCTAAGAAGGCGATGATGAATAGACTAGGGTAAAGATACAAGAAGAAACAAAAATAATATATAATACATATATATATTTGTTAAATTAAAGGAAAAATTACTTTTACAAGTCTCAGTTGCTTAAGCGCTCTTCAAATTTGCATACAATTCCCAAAAGGTTATGACTTGGAAAGCGCCATTGGGCGACAGCGAGCTTTTCACTATTTATTTGTCTTATTTTTGATTACTAATAGTTATTTAATAAGAATTACTTACACCTAAGTTCAATGAATCAGAATTGTATTTGTTCCTAGAAAATAGCCATGAAACAACTTTATGATGTGGTGATAGCTAGCTTCCAGTTCAAGGTATTGTATATGTGTACTTGATTGTAACTGTATTAACTAAGGTAATAAAAATTTTAAATTTTAGCTCAAAATTAAGTTTGATAACCTTAAACAGTTTCAATTACAAATGCAATCTTTGCCTTTCGCCTAAAGTGAAAGATCTTTTGTTTCGTTTAACACTTGGAAACAAAGTACGTGAAAACTATGTAAAAACCACCTCTGTCTTCCTCTCTCCCACTGTCTCCACTCTCTCTCTGTCTTTCTCGGATGTGGACAATGATCCCCCGCAGATTGTAATCGGAGGCATGCGAAAAGTGTTTCCTCTTCAGCTCCAACAAAACAATGAAAATGAAGAAGACAAGTCGTTATATTAATTACTTTGCATTATTGTTTAAAGCAAACTGCGGGCAATCGTTGCTGCTGTTGTCGTAGATGTTGCTGTTGCTTTGATGAGACTGTCTGTCGTTTAGCTTGGCACTTTGACATGCTGTGCATATTGAAATGCTGTTGCGTGATTGAATTGCACATAACATTTACACTAAATCTATAGATGCACACCAACATATATCTCCTTTGTTCCATAGACAATCCAGATTGCCAAGCTAGGAGTTACTCTGTGGTGTCTTCTTTTGCTCGATTCTTCATTCATTTTCGACAACAGATGGAACGATGTGCAACACTAAGTCGAGTCCGCTTTTCAATAAAATTTATATATTTGAACTACCTTTTATATGCGTTTTTATTGAGGGACTAGTATACCCTATTAGCACACTAACAGTGAATTTCGAGGGTATCAGAAAACAAGCTGCAATTAATAAAACGTTTTTTATATGAAATTGTGAGAGTAACAGAAAAATGTTCTATTAGATCCGAGATAAAGTCGAGAGACGAGGCTCGTGTCAATTACGTGTGCTCTGTGTGGGTGTGGCGTCAACAACAAGATTGTTGCTGTTGTCAATGTTGTTGGCGTCATTGTTGTTGTTTTTGTTGTCTACACAGGCAATTATATGCATAAAATTGTTATCTGTCCGTCTGTTGGGTTTGTCTGCATTTGCCAAATGTATACAAATCAGCATTCAATGTCAGCCAAAAGCTTAAGATATATCAGTCATATATAAGTTAAAGCTGTATAACGCACTTATATAATGCTGTATGCGAGGGCCGTTTGGTATTTTAATATATACGTCTAGTCTTGGCTTTGAACTTCGCCCTCTATTCGTTCGAAACAATCTTTTTAAAGGCATTTTTTCTGATGCTTTGTTAGAATCTGTTTAAACTTATATAATATATTATTAAGGCAACCCTCACATATTTTTCCTCTCATTCCAAAGTGCATCAAAATGTAACTTGTTTATGATGTCTATGATTATTGAAGATTCTAAAAATAATCTGATCACGAATATTCCAAAACGAACCCTCGCCCACATCTTATGGAATTGCAATGCTTTACTTTGCGGAGATTCTTCCATTCAAATAATATGCTAAGCTCTTAGATTCTGGTCACACTTAAATGTATAGTATTTAAAAAGTAACCCTTGCTCATCTCTCTCTCTCTCTCGCTCCATTTCCTCATTCATTTGTAAATAACCTTTATAACGACTCATCTATATCAAAAGTATAACTTGTTAGTCGTGTTTTGCGGCTGTTCGATCGTATCGTAAATTATGTACAATTCACAACAAGTTGTAATGTAAAATGTAAAAGGTAAAAAACATGATTGATTAGCCTACCTTTACAATGTGCCACAGCTAATTGGCGAGCTATATAAATAGCTGGAAATCTGTAACAGAGTTGCAAGAGTTGTCTAAAATGTTGCTGCCGCTGCTGTTGTTGAGCTCTCAAATGCTTTGCCAAGTCCTGGCAGCTGATTACGAGATGCTAATTGATGATCCTGAAATCTTTACCGATTGCAAAGAGAATCCACCAGGTGCAAAAGGTATTTCTGGCTTATTCAATTTGGATGAATTGGAGTTAACATTGGATGGCGATAAGATACATGTGGCTGGTAATGCCACAACTGTTTGGGATATAGAGCCAACAGATCGCATAACGGTAAATTGTATAACCCGAATGAGATAATCAATCAATTAATATTGAATGAATCAATCAATTCATTAGGCATCCGCACGTCTATTGCAATTAGATCGTGGCATTTGGCAACCGACTGTCTTTAGCATTGCCTCGCAGGACTTCTGCGGTATTATGTACGATAAGGATCAATATTGGTTCAAGTATTGGACCCGCCATGTTGACGATATTGATACTATGAAAGGCAAATGTATCAATCATAAAGGCGTAAGTGTCAAACATAATTAGCTTAGATCAATACTTGATTCTCTCACTTTCCGTCTCCCTATTCGCTTCTTGCAGACAAAACTGATTCATTCGCCTTTCGATCTAAATATGGTTTTAAATAACGTTCGTGGCACCACTTTGCACGGTCGCTATAAGATTGTCGTCACCCTGGAGGCCTTTGACGATGAGAAGAGTGTTAAGCGTCCGGATAGCATTTGCGTAGAGATCATTGGCGATTGTGAGAGGCTGTGAGCGTTTTTGCATTCTTCATCGATCTACCTCGAAATATCCAAACTTTATATTACAATAAAGCTTCTGTAGTTTAAAGTAGAAATGCAAACCAAATGGTGTTACTAAAGATATATATATATATATATATATATATATATTCCATGTTCCACAAATTTTAAGCTCCACTTAAAACTTGAATCATTTAAATTTAAATAGACGTATTCTAGGTTTGAACCGATCCATTAAGAACCGGTTTAAAGTCCTATATTAAATTATTACCGAATTCTTGACATCAAAACAGTTTTGTTTACTAGAAATTTAATTTCAAGTATTGTTTAACGAGTGCTCTTCTCCTCGATTCTCAATAATTCAAGTAGGCTAGGGAGTATATATGCTTTGGTCACACTTTTTCCCTCCCTCTTCTCTCCGTTCCTTCTCTTCTGCCTCCCTTTCTTCTCCCTCCCTTTCTTCTTCCTCCCTCTATTCTCCCTGCCTCTCTTCTCTGGGTCTTCCGATACGAACTGTCTCTGAATCTCGACTTTTCTTTCTTCTCTTCGGTATTCTGTTTATCCCTGTTTCCTCGCTACATTCCCCTATCACTCAACGTTGTTCTCATCTTGCAGTCATTATTATAGGTAGAGGGTATTATATTATAGTTTTTGTTTTAAATCCCCCATTTGATTTTGATTTTCTGTGGCTGTGGCACGCGCTGATGTCAACAGACATTCAACTGTCATTCGAGATTGGCCTTTGTTAGCTGTCTGTGTATATGTGTAAGTGTGCTTGTGTGTGTATATATGATTTAAGAGCTCTTCAAGCGTTTCGCTTATGTTGCAAGCAGTTGTTGCAGTGGCCGTTGCAATTACATTTTGTAGTTTTGTGTTACATGTCTTAGCACAGTGCATGCTACTTGTATTCCGCCCGCATGGGGCATGGGGCATGTGGCAATGTGCGATCGCCTGTTTGGTTTTGTTGCTTTTTTTTCAGTTTCTGTAATTGAAGTGAACGCCAAATGCAAATTGCACGGCTGTCAAGTTATTAAGTTACTTGATGAATGAATACAAATCGTGGCATCTATCTATCTATCTAGATTCTCAACCATATGCCACATGCCAAATGCTACACGTTTTTCAATTGGTCGCGCATTTAATTTTAAGTGTCGATTCATTGCGCACCAAAACTTTCAACTTTGCCAAAATAAAAAGGTTTTTATTTAGTAGCAGCATAAAGACCTTCAGCCACGGCGTTCGTTCATCCAGCCTGCAACACACTTTCATTTCAAGTGCCTTGCACAATTGTTACATGCTCGTCGAAACTACTTAAGGGAGTATATAGGCTTTGTTCAATGCTCTTTCGAGTGGTAACAGTCAGAAAAATCAACTATTGATTTACTGTAACTAGATTATATTGCCATTCAGTCCATTCAGTGCAACTAGTCCACGTTGGATTCGGATGAGTATTGATTCTGCAGTTAAACTTGGCATGATTCGAACTCATGCCTGATTCCCGAATGATTCAACAGCTCTCTGTATGATATATATTTCTAACCACTTCTGAGAGAGCGAGTATTATGCAGTCGTTACACACCTCTGATACTGCTCTTTATCACTCTTTTGCAACTTTCTAAATCAGAAACAAAACAAAAAAAGGTGCAAATTATTAGCGCACGACTTGACTCAATTATTTGGGCCCCCGCCGGCCTATATAGAAATCAATTTTTTTGATAGAACTCTCCACGATGGCCTTTAGTCATAAAAAAAAAATGCGGCAGCTGCCTGCTACTCGCTTTGCATATTGTGCCACAAAGAAAAAAGTTGCTAACCCAAAAAACAATTTCGCTATGTAGGACGTGGCAGCGAACTAAACAACTGAACCCGTTTGGCTAGCCAAACAGCTAAGCTGAATGTTGACTGCTGGCTGCTCTAGCTCACCTTAAGATTCACAAGCTCTCTACGGGAAGCACGAAAATTATCAAACAACAACAACAACAATTGCAACTGCAACAGCAACAAATTTTTAGTTGCATGAATGGTGGCTGTGAGAAGCAGCTGAGCAACGTTTTAAACTCGTGTAGGATGTGTTTTTTTTGCTGCTTTGTAGGCTATTGGAAAGATCAAGAGTTTATACATTATATATATATATATATGTATATAAATAGGTGTATGTGTGTGTGTGAGAACCTTTCCAGTTTTGCCGCTGCCTTTGGCACATTCACTGGCTGCTTGTTGTTGTTGTTGCAACGCCTCTCTGGCTGCTGTTGTGGGCACAGTTTGCCAGTTAAATAGATGCACTGAGAGAAAAATATATAAACAACAAAATTTAATTATTTATTTAGAATTGCTGTTAACTGAATATATACACTGCAAAAAAACACACTCAGTGGATTGAATTCCATTTTTAAATATGTTATTAAACTCTATTTGACCATTTTAATACTTTTTTATGTAAATATTAAATTTTAATATGTATTTATTGATATTTAAAAAGATATTACAAAAAATACAGAGAGAAATAAATCTGAAATTGATTATTTATATTTTAAATTAAATTGTGTGTTATTTATATATATATATATAAATACATATATATATACACTGAGAGAAACAAGTGGTAATTCTCAGTAAAATCACTGCATAAACATAAAGTTTTCTATTATTTTCTCTCAGTGTATCACCTATAAGATTACACGCTGCACATTTCACAGCAGCTGCTGTTGCTGTTGCTGCCTACAGCTTGCAGGCAAACTGGAAAGTGTTGCCTTTTGCACTCGCCACACACACACACTTAGCACACACACACATGCTTAATTTCCCACCTATTTTTGTGTTTTCCAAGTCTTTTAATAGCTGCTGCTGCTACGCTTTCGATTCGAAACCCTTGCCGCTATTTGTTGCACACTCTCAGCTTAGTCTCAAAGATTTGGCCTCTAAGTACGCATTTGCCAGCCTGCTAATAATGGCTCATTCATGAACTCCGAAGCGCGCAACAAATGCCTTGAGCTGGAGCTGTAGAGCCAAGAGAGGATCCACAAAGAGAGTGGAGAATGGAGAGAAGAGAGGAGCAGTTGGAAATCTAAAAATTCAACGCCAACGCCAAAACAAAACTTGGCTATAATGCTCGTAATGACAGGCTTGCGTGTGTGCTACAGACTCTTGGGCCGGTCAGCATACACACACACGCACAACACAAAATTTTCATTCATAAAATGCCGACAAGTCCGAGTCACGTCAACTTTAACGATACGTTGCCCACGCATGGAGCCAAAAGACTTTGGCTTATCAAGTTGTTGTCGAGTTGATTTTCAATGCTCGTTCAAATGGTGATTTAAAAGAGTACATTGGTTGTGTGAAAATGTGCAGGAGGCGTGGCAGACTTCATAAAGTACACATAATGCTGCCTTGATAGTGTCAAGTCTCAATGATAACAATATAGTTTTTGCGCAGAGTGCAGGATATCTTCTAGTCGGGCATTCCCCACAAAACATTCTGACTTGTTTCAATAAATTTTTGAATATTTTCCTTGAACGAGTATTAGACAGTCAGAGATTGTTGGTGCTGTTGTCAGCATGTCAACATTTACAAAATTCTTAAAATTATTTATTTATTTATTTTTTTATTTTTTTATTTATTTATTTACTAGATTATTTTTGATTTTGTTTTGCAACGCAAAATATTATGTATTATGTGGGTTGCTTTGTCAATCATACGGAAATTGATTTCAGTTCTTCAATAATTTTTTGATGTAGCAAAAATATGCAGTTTTTTTTTACGGTTTTTCACAGATATTTTCTTGAGATATTTAGCATTTTGCCTTGGACTTTTAATTGTTTCAAGTTGCATAATTTATAAACATTTATTATAATTTATAGTATTGCTGTATTTGCTGAGTTTGTGGGCGGCAAAACACAAGAATTTGAGGAATTTCAAGAGCTGTTTTTTGATGCTGAAATAGTCACAATCTCAGTTGAATAAGTGTGTAGGAGTTAGAATAGGAAATATAATGCGCTTAATGAAGTAAAGCCCTACTATAAGCTTTCATATTTCATTTTTTAGAGTTCAATAACAGAATTTTGAAGTTGGTGCAAACTCACTTTTTTATATAAAGCTCTTAATATGTTTAATCATATAATTATCTAATACCCGAGCTCTTGCAATCGAATTGTCTTCAACATGCAATCGATTGTGGTAGGTCAAGTAAATAATCACAACGAATCACATGGCTGCCAAATAAGGCGCATCAGACAGTCTGTCTTGTATGTCTGCCTCTTTCTCTCCCTGTCTCTCTCTCTCTGTCTGCTGGTGGGCTATTGAGTGACAAGCAGAGCTCCTTCTCCAACGTCTCCAGTCAAGATCTACCGCCAACTTCTTCTGCTTCTTCGTCTTCTTCGACTCTTGCCGTTGTCGTCGTGTTATGAATTATAAAAACCTTTTGCAGTCACAAGTCTTGACGTCTGTCTTTATTAACGTTACGTAGCAGACGCAGCGGCAAAGCCAAAAGGTAGACAAAACAATGAGTATACCCTGTAAGTAAATGCCAACAAGGGCTGCATGTGCTATGGACACTTTACTAATAATGTTTATTATTCTAAATGTTCTTTACGATCTCAGTCAGAGGTTCTAATTACATTGCAAAGCAGTTTTGAAATAGTCATATAGCTTAAACTTCAATTTTTGGCTTTAAAAAACTATCTTAGTTTGATGTTATGTTTATATTCTGTTTTAGTACAGCCACGAATTTACTCAGTTTAAGTTAAGGTATCTAATTGTCAACTTCATTTGGCTTACAGCATTTGAAACGTATGTTATACAGAATGTGGGACAGAGAGGGATAGAAAGAGGGAGAAAGAGACGCAGATATTTAGTGTGCGAGTGAAATGCGCTTTGTGCAGAAATAACCAAAATCGATTTCCGTTCATTTCTGTCGTTGCACCTCTTTCATGCGGCTCAATGCACTCGACGACTGCGTCACCTCTTTTATGCAACGTCTGCTCCACAGCCTGCCCCACTGCCTCAGCGGCAGCTTTTTGTTTGCATTTTGGCTTCGCTGCTCTTTTTTATTTTTAGTTTTTTTTTTGTAAATGGATTTTGTCGATTGGCATTTGCGCGAACCTTTTATTGTACTTATTTTTGGGCCTCGACTGTAGGAAAAAGCGAAATGCGAAATGTGAAATGCGAAAGCGAATTTCAAATTGCATTTCTGCGCCTTTAATACCCTGTAACGAGCTTTCGAAATGGGTGTATAAATACCTGTAAATCGTTTAAGAATTATTATATTTATCTCTTTGTCCCCTATCTATTTGTATCTGTGGCTAAAACTAAACTAATAACTCGAAGACTTTAAGAGATAGAGTTATAAATTTGCTTTAATAATACACCTTTAGTATATTAACTTATAGAATATATTTTTTCTAGGACTTACATCCATCATACTTAAATAAATTTGATATTTACAAACATTTGTATGAAAGGGTAACTCCCAGTCGGTTACCTTCTGATAGAGCACTGCTTACCCTTTTTTGTTTGGCAAATTTGTTGAACCGAACACAGAGAAATGAATCCCGAACGCTTCTGGCTGCTGCAACACTTGACTGACCATTAAATTGAGCCATTGACCAGGGATTGCTTTCATCATCAATTTGAGGCCTCGCGGCTCGAATTCAATGTCAATTTGTGCAGCTGTAATTGAAACTCGGCGCAAAACCAACAAAAAACAAAAACGAGAGCAATAAAAATGTGCGTAACGACTTTTTAAGTTGGCTGTGCTTTCGTCTGTGTGTGTGTGTTTACTGTAGTTGCGTGGCCTAAACCAGTTTTCACTTTATTTTATTGACCATTTGTTGCTTCTTTAACTTGCGTTTATTCTCAAATTATGTGTATATAAAAGAAAAATCTCTTAACTACTTTTTATGATCGTCTCTCTGTGTGTGTGTGTTCACAATTTGCAGACGTTTTGTCTTTTATGGTCTGACAATGAAACCACTAAAAAGGGGAAAAAACAAGCAAAACAAGTGAGAACATTGCAGTGGGGTCTGACCAACCAACTGGATAATACTCGTTCAGGGTCTAACAAAATTGCAATTGAATAAAATATACTCTAATTGCAGTTCTTTAAAGCTTAAAGTAGTTTTAAGATTTAAGTTTGAAAATTATTGATGTGGAGAGAATACACAGGACTTCATATATTGCGAATTTCTCAAATACAGGTTCATGGAGAGTCTGTTCAACATATCCCCCTTATGCATTTCTTAGGCGAGCATTAAAACAGCAGCAGCAGCAACCACAGCGAGAACTAAAACCCATGTGGCTTTTGACCATATTTCGCATAGACAACATTTTGCTTTGCCATATTGTGAATCGAAGTTTGCTTAGCTTTGCAATTTGCTGGTCGTTGGCTTTGACTTGAAAACACTTTCGTTCTGCTTACCTGATGATTGTAGTTGCCCATAAAAAAGGTGGAAAGAGGTAAACTTTATTAAGCACCACAGGCAGCCACAGCAGCCCTTCGATTAATGCACATCAATTAAGTTCACAGTCAAGGCTGCCGCTGGTGGAGGTTGGGAGGTAGCATTGAGGCAAAGCAGGTGCTAATTGCTGTCAGCTATGTCGTCACCTTTGTCTACATACTAAACAACAGAATTTATAGAAAAGCCTTGACTAAATGCTTACTCTATAAAAATATACATTATATGTAAGAGATATTACAATAACTTTATTTAAGTATACGTAAAAAAGAACCTTGTCTAATTGCTAAACTATAGTTCTCAGAGTTCGCATGGAGTTTCAAGAAATTTAAAAAACTAAATGGTTTCTATATTACCTCTTATACTAGGCCTTCCTCTAATAAAAAGTCATTGTATCGTAAATAACTTTTTCACAAGAATTTGTCTTATACACATCATCAAAGTAATGTAATGACATTCCCTATAGAAATTCGAATACATTTCTAAACAATTTGTTTGCTATGCTACTTTTAGGTATATTTATAGCGGTATTCCCTACACAATTTCTTCAATTAAGATGCATTTAAATATGTATATATTTATGGTATTCCCTATACAAATTTTATATGTTTCTGCACCATTTGTTTGCTATGTAGGAAAATTGGATTCAATTAAATTTTAAATGTGAATTTTACGCTGATTGATAAATGCGCAAAGTGCACTCAATTGAGTGTGTCGCATTCATTGAGTTAAATTGTTGTTAAATTTATATATATGTTTTAGTCAAACTTTTCATTAGTTTTAATGAAATCCACAGACAACAAAAGTCGCCTCCTTAATGAGCTTTGAGCACAGCAACATGAACTTCAATCACTGCCTCATGAAAACATCGAAGAAACTTTGCAAAACATTTTTCTCCATCACATTTTTGCTTGGCAAAGACTTTTGACATGCCCGAAATACATGTTTAGCTAATGGGCAGGAGCAGCAGGATGTTTTGTAAAAAACATGCAAAACCTTGTTGGTTGAGCCAAAGAAAATTTTTGACTTGTTCAACTAAGTCAACAAATTATCATCAAGTAAACCGAACTTATCTAAATAATAATGAAATAAATTTAAATCGGCATATTACGCTGTTCAGCAAATTTATGGATCTTAAAAGCTATTGAGTTATTGCCCATCGAAGCGTCTTTATAAGCCTTTATACCCTATAGACTTTTAAAGAACTTAAAAAGGGATATATTGAGTTGAGAGAAAATGTGTCAAGGATTAGATTGAAAATCTCTTGAATATCCTACTATTATTGAAGAAAACTAAGTTTAGAGGGATAAATATATCGAAAACGTAAAATATATAAAGCAGTATATATAAATTATTACACAATATATATATAAAATTAATAAACAAATATATAAAATCTACATTGAAAAAATATAGCAAAATTATATTATCAAAATATATTTAAATTCAATTAACAAAAAATAAATAAATTAAAAAAATATTTAAATTGAAAATAGATTTATATATATTTATTAATAAAGATAGAAATATTCCTAGGGTATTACATAAGCGTTATCTCCGTTGCAAACTCTTTTGATAGCATTTCGTATTGACGATTGAGTCACACGTACGCACAATTTGTCAGGATTTGGGCGCTTATTCTAACTATCTATAAAAAGGATGAACCAATAAGAGGCAACCTTTAGCTACACTCTTTGTATAGAGTGAGAGGGTCAAAAGGGTTAAACTTGTGCCTTTTATGTGCTTTTCTATTGAATTTGATAGCGTTTTCAGCTTTACTTTGAAATCGTTTTTATTAAATATTTTCTAATCCGTTTGCTGCTTTTTTTCTATTACAGAACACATCTCCATTATGGGAGGACTTTGTGGCCAAGGCTAGCAAGCTACACACATGCCTGCGGTAAGTAGAGAATCGAAATCGAAATCTAATTTGATAATCGAAAATAAATATAAATTCAGATTTAAATTATTATCAACAAATTTGATCAGTTTAATGATAATTGGCTTTTTGAAGCAATTGTAAGAGGAGAACTCAATCAACAAATAAATAACGAAATCTGGCCACCAAATTGTGGTATTACAATATAGACTCCATAATGTGAGACTAATGAATACTCTGTATATAATATCCCCTATGTGAGATCAATGTAGCTTACGACAGCTCAAGTTCAATTACAGTATAGCCTCTTTAATGCAGACATTCGCTAAGCCATGCTCAAACACCTTAGTTTTTTGTTTTCTAAACGATAGACTTTACTGTACTTCAAAGTACACTGAACTGTTTTTCATTCACATTTCATGTTTGTTTTTTTTTCTTTCAGTTTTCTTTTTCTCTTCTTTTTGTTTTTTTTTTTTTTTTTGGCCATTTGCTTGGTATTTGCGTGTTGTTTATAGTTGATTCTGTTTTGTTTTTAACGCGCAGACTTGGCCCCGATTTGTGACGCCAGCGGCGTTGTCTAAGCATATGCAATATATATACATAAATATACTCTTATACATCTGCTGATTATGTATATAGCATACGCCTTGCATTAATAATCATGAAATCACGTTGAAAAGCCACTGCTGTCTGTTGTCTTTAAAAGAAATTCTGCGCCAAGTGTTTGCCCAATGCGCTTGACACACATACGCACCGTTGCCCGTTGTCACTCGAGCTAGAAAGAGAGACACACACAGACAGAGAGAGAGAGGGAGGGAGGTAGGTAGACAGACTCAACCAGACCAACCAGATCAGATCACAGCAGCAGCAGCAGCAGCCCAGCATCTTCATCTTCATCAGCTGCTTTGGGTGCAGTCGCTCTTTGGACTGTCTGCCAGTCTTTCCCTCTGTCTCTTTGTCTCCCTGTCTGTCCGTCTGTCTGGCTCTGCCATTTTCAATTGAAATGTCGCCCACGGCCAATAAAGTTTCTTGCAAAGTTTATTAGATTTGCAGTCGTCGCACTATAATCAATGGCATCTTTAGTTTGCTGCTTTTTCTCTTTGTATACCCTGTACAGAGTGATGATGTGAGGTGTATGACGACTGTGAATGAAGTATCTTACAGAAATATACTATTCAATGATTTACTGGCTATTTCTCTGGTTGTTTCGCTTTGGGTATACTCTGTAAATATTACTTTAAATGTAATCACATTGCTCAACTCGAATAATAAACACGAAGAATATTTAAACATAGAATTCGATTATTTGCAGAGTATCTTCGAACAGTTATCTTAAACAGTCTCTCTCTCTTTCTCTTGTAACATCTATATAATCTTTGTTTGTTTTGTATGTTTTTAGCGCTGCGATTCAGGCAATTGCCGCCTATTTGGATGCCTTCCAAAAGATCGCCGATGCTGCAACCAATTCCAGAGGTAAGTTCAAAAGTCGTAAACATCATAACAAAAACAGATTTCTGTTTGCCAACTATCCGTGTAAGCCTTTGGGCTATGCGCCATTTAGATAAGGTACTCAGATGTATTAGGTACAAGTCCAAAACTAATTTCCAAAGTCATTAACATAAAAAAAGAATTAGTTTTGTTTGCCAACCAATAATTCTATCCTTTGACTTGTTTTTCCTGCATAGTAGGTACATTATCGTATTCATGAAAATACATAAAATACATTAAATAGAATGTTAAACATTCGGTACACATTTCTTTGCTAGTTATTCATGCCTTTGGCTATCTGAAAAAGATACAGTAGGTACCATTAGTTAGGTACATAATGTACACTTACAAGTTAAAGTTCATGCCTTTGGGCTATTTGAGAAGGTACATTGGTTACATTGGGGTACATTCACCTATTATTAATGAGAGAATCGACGACGCAACAACGACGTCAACGTCGGTCATCGATCTGAATTAACGCCTTCTCAGAGTTCTCTGTTCGGGTTCCGATTTTGTTGCTCACGCATTTCTATTTTAGCTATTTATATTTATTTATTTGCCTGCCTCTTCACGCTCGCAGCTCTGATTATGCAATTGCTGCTCACCTGGGCGGCCCCGCAACAACAACAACACAGCAGCAGCAACTGAAAACGGGAAGCGACAGGCAGCTCCAATGAATTTGCTTTTATTTCAACTGCTCTTACGCTCTGCCTATATGGTGGGCAGTAATAGAGTAGAGTAGAGTAGAGTGGAGAGAGACAGATCAAAGACCACAGAGAACATAGAACGACTTGAGCAACAGCAGAAGAAGACAACACGTATTTATATGTCTATGGCATTTCGAGTTGTTCAAGTTGACATTTTACTAGTTACAGTTAGTTAAGGTGGATAATTGCAAGTTTTGGAAGAGGCTTTAGAATGCGATTTAGATAGGAGACTTGAGATAGATTTTAAATAGAATGATGTGGTAAGTAGAAGTGTCTTAGAGATTCTTGTATAGAATAGAGTGCAATACACATAGGGGTTGTTGAACTGGTAAGATATTTCATGAAATGGAATTATAGATGCTTATAAAGAAGAGTTGATTAGGGAAAATCTATCGAGTTCTATACTTTTCGAAGAAGTTTTTCCCCTAATAACAAGGCAGCTAAATAAGATTGTTTAGACTTCTCAGTTCTATCCATAGATCTATATATGTAACCTACTTAAATTAGAGCGAATTATTAATTCTATAAATTACTGGCTTTACTCTCCTGCTTGTCAATACTTCAAATCAACAGTTAATGATGTTAAGCTCTAATTGAAAGACTTACTTAACGATGTCTCACCATTCACATACACATCAATCAGACTCTATTCCCTTACATTAAAAGAGCTCTGCATTTGTGGAACTCTTATTTATTCCCTCAATATTTTGTTCAACATTGACATAATCTGCTGCATTTCCAACATAAAAGGAGTTGTTCATATATCAATAAATATTTTATAAATTGATTTAAGCTTGATTGAACTGTTTTTGTCGTTGCATCGTAATTATGGTCATATACAAAATATGCATTCACAAATTTATTAAATATGAATTTGCGTCCGTTCGCAATTCCCAATGCGATTCATTATTTATCTTTCATGTTTGTCTGCCTGTCTCTCACGCTCTCTCTTGCACTCGTGTGTGCTCTGCCTCATTTGCATATATTGATTTCATGTCACGTCTGTGCTTGCATTTCTCTTGCACGATAATGCTCATACGCCCCGTTTACCACCAGCCACTCACACTGCCAGCCATGAAAAGAACGCAAAGGACTTCGTTTTGGGGCCACCCTAATGCTGTTGTCTGTCTGGCACATCAAAGACTCACTGTACTTTGCACTTACTAAATGGTTTCATTAGTTTTAGTGGTTAGTTGGCCAAAGTAGAGCGTAGAAATGCGACACGGCCTGTGCTCGGTCAAGCCTGCTGCACAGGACAAGTGCCAATTGTCTTTGGCGATAGTCCTGAACGAGGGTGAAACTCAATAATTTGCACATGGTTTTTGGCTTGCAGAGAGGGTGGTTGCATGCATTACCTAACGGGTGGGTTCTATTCCATATACCCTGCAGACAAGGCTCATACAATGGAGTATATGCCAGTTAGAGTTGGAAATTCACGTTTAATTTGCTGAAAAAGTTGTTTTAATGTTACTTATTCAATTAGCTTATACTACAGTTAACAGTTCAACCATTCATACATACATTAAATCATCTTATTAAATAACGGTTCAGTTGCTCAGTTAGATTCTGAGATGATTTTAAGTTGCTTTATGTTGTATATGCTTATAAACATCTGACCTAAAGCAAGTGTATGAAAAGAAAGCGTGTTAACTAGTCGATTACTCCTTCTGCTCTGTAGTCAATTCAATTAACTTGGATTTGTTGACGTCCATTAAAAACTTTATGCGGGCTTAGCGTTTAGTTGTTCTCTCTCTCTCTCTGCCTCTCTGCATATCTCGTTGTTTGAGTGTGCAGGGTATCAATTAGTATGTTATGCTCTATGATAAAACACAATTCAATTAACTTGGATTTGAAGGCGTTCATAAAGTGCTTTATGTGGGATTTGCCTTTAGCATCATATTTAATGAAAGCACTTCTTTGGTCTCTCTTTCGTCTAATGGAAAGGCGAGCACAAATCAATAGGATAATAGCAGCAAAGGCAATTTTTGCAAACGATAATTAGATTTGGAATAGAGAGAGAAGATGGAGATGGTGGTGGAGGTGGAGGGGGAGGGGGAGGGAGAAGCGTGTCACTTGTTTAGATAGGCAGCTGCCCAAAGCGTCGCAAGTAGCTGGCATAATGGGCACACACGAGAGACGAGTCGAGGCGAGAGACCGGTTGTTGACCGACTTCTTAGTTTATCCAAATGCCGTGTGGCATGCAACGTCAGTAATGGGTATTATAATTGGGGGTATGCAAAGCCTGGCCATGCATGCGGCAGCTAAAATTTCACATAGAATTTAATCTCTAACTTGCTCTTCTTTTCCTCCTTCCAGGTGCATCCAAGGAGATTGGCACCGCCTTGACGCGCGTTTGCCTGCGCCACAAGGCAGTCGAAACGCGCTTGAAGACCTTTACGAGCGCCATTATGGATTGCCTAGTGCAGCCATTGCAGGATAAGATCGAGGATTGGAAACGTACCGTGGCCACCATCGATAAGGATCATGCCAAAGAGTATAAGCGCTGTCGCAGCGAGCTAAAGAAGCGTTCCAGCGACACGCTGCGCTTGCAGAAGAAAGCGCGCAAGGGGCAGACGGATAACAGTTTGCAATCCTTGATGGATTCTCATATGCAGGATGTTACACTGCGTCGCGCCGAGCTGGAGGAGGTGGAAAAGAAGTCCTTGCGTGCGGCCATGGTTGAGGAGCGTTTGCGTTTCTGTAGCTTTGTGCGCATGCTGCAGCCGGTGGTGCATGAGGAATGCGAAGTAATGTCCGAGCTGGGACATCTTCAGGTAAGTAACAAATAAGTTGTGAGTGTAGAGTTTAGTATTAAATTCCAAATTCTTTGGCTTGCAGGAGGCCATGGAGTCCATTGCTTTGGTCACCAAGGAGCCGAGCGTGCTGCCCCAAGCATCGGAGGAACTTATACATGATGCCAAGGCTAGCATTAATTTGTATCCCGAATCGCCAGGTGGTGGCTCTGGCTCTCAGGGCGGCGGTTGCTCGAATTCTTTAGGCTCGCGCAAGAGCTCCGTTTGCTCTATTAGCAGCATGAACAGCAGCGGCTCCAGCAACTCGCCGGGTCATCATCACTATCAGCGTTCGCTGTCGCAGGTGCGAAGAAACTTTTTATATTTCGATAGTGCAGCAAAACTGTAGGTTTAAGCAATTGGTCATAAATGTTGAACATATATATACATGTTACGTATCAATCTATAGACATGTTAATGTATGTAATGTAGAGTTTCATGTAGAAATTATGTGCTTGATACTATTTAAACTAAACATTTTTTATGTTATTTACTTAAAATAGTTCGCTATTTCATATATGTACATAACATACGAGGAAATTATAAATGATATATGTTAATTTTGTTCTATTTTGCTTCAACTTATTGTTATGTTTGAATAATTTTTAGACTATTCTGATATTGACTACATATACTTATAAATCGTGTCACCAATTGCTTAAGCCTTAAGTTAATCTGATATATTTTAATGCCATCTCTGTGTGCATTGCTGACATTGCAGCCATTGTAGATGTATCTTTAAACCTGGGTTATTCATCCATGAAGTTAATTATTTTTGTGTGTCTTTTGTGTTTTTATGTTTGTTTATTTGTACGTTTATTTATTTGTATTTTTTTTTTTAGTTTGTAACGCCCGCAATTCGCTTGAAACCTGGTGAATCCAGTGATAGTGGCTTTTGCTCATCGCCCGCGCTAACAACACAGGTTCTCATTTTGATTTATTGATTTGTGTTTTCTATTTCACTTGTTGTGTTACCTCATTGCTAATGATAAAATTGTTTCTTTCGATGTAGGCTTCGACTGCAACTAATCAAACACATGCTGTTTCCACTTGGCCGCCACATTCCCAGGATGTTGTTGACACTCTTCCACCGACTGCCGATCGTCCGCATACGATTTCCACCACTTACGAAAAGGGACATCAGCGTCCGCCTCTAACTGTATACACGTTCCAAAATCCAGAGACCATTCACGAGTCAAGCAGCAGTGGCAGTCTTATAACAGCAGCTGCTCCACCGCCTGGAGCTGGAGCAGTTCCTGCTGGAGGAGCTAATCAAAGCAATTCGGGCGGTCAAACGACGCCCGCTCCACAAAAGTCGCCAGCTGCTTCGCTAAGTCGTCCGCCGTTGCCAGTTGTGAGTTAAAAGTGTATATATATGTGCGAGGTGTGTTCCAAAAGTAAGCTGACTATAAGTATATTAATCCAGCAAAGTCAATTCTCGCAGTTATTCGGAGCCTTACCTTGCTTTTTGAACACATCTCGTATATATTTGTGCCTATCTATCTATCTATACATCTAGTGCTTAAGTTATTTCTTATTATCTGTTTGCTGATCCGTTTCAAAACATTCTATATCTATATAGAAGCCGGCACATGTGGTAAGTGGCAGAGGGAGAGAAAGAGAAAGTAGATACCTACGGCGCGCTCTCATTTGCATGCGCTATACCCTGCCCAGCTCACCAGAAACAGTTGCCTTCGCCTCATTTCCGCATCAACTCTTCTAAATATGTATATATCATATTTGATACTTTACTAATCCGTTCTTTCATCAATTATAGCGCTGCTCCTCGTTGGAACGTCCACTGTCCGCGCAGAGCAATCATCGACAGAATAGTGGACAAAACTTGCTGCAGCGCCAGTGCCCCTCACCGATTCCGGCTCATATCACGAAAGGTAAGCTAGGCTCACAATTTATATGTATATATGCCTATACCTTAAGCAGATGTCTATATATGTACATGATTCATTTTGATTTGTCTGTCTGTTTAAATATCTATCTATCTGTATATCTATTGCTATGTAGGTATTTATTTCGTTTAACATTCTTCCCTTACTTGTGGGCAACTAAGATGATCAGGTTACTATAAAGTTTCCATAGGATGAATCAGTATTAAATTGGAAAACTTCTTTTTCAAATTATTTTTAGTTATATGAAAAATGAATTTGAGCTCACATTGGATTAATATATCACAATCTGTTATAGAAACTATTGGTCGTAACAGATTTGTCTTTTAAGACACCTTTAGAAAATTTCTCTTATGCAAGGGTTATTATGTTTTTAACAGTTGAACAATATCTGGTTAAGATCGGATGTATTAAACCAAAACTTAAAATCATAGAAAACTTTTCAGGATCTCTATATGATAGTAAGCATATCATTCTGTATACTTTATCATATATGCTCTATGAAAATATATATATGTTGATTATAGTCTGCTAGGGTATTTGAAACTCGGCACTTGTCGAAGTAAAACTTTATACCTGTTTATTGTGTCTACTATGTTGTGTCCTAGTGTGCACGCCTTTTAATGCCTAATCCATTGAGTCTTTACTAATCAACTCCTTGTGCTTGTCGCCATGCTGCGCTCTCTCTCCCAAACACCATTCGCATGCTTTTCAATGTCACACACACGCACACGCAGAGCTGTCCGCCGCACATCATGCACAGCAGCAACAACAGCAGCAGCAACAGCAAACACAGCAGCAGCAACAGCAACAGCAGACCACGCCCACCTATGTTAACATGTCTGAGCTGGCAGCTATGAAACTAACCAATCAGCAACAACAACAGCAACAGCAGCAATCACAACAGCAACAACAGCAATCAGCAACACCTTTGCTACAGCAACAGAGCAGCATCGATTCAATAAGTTCACAGCACTCTAATGACTCGTCGACCAGCTCACTGCAGCAGCAACTGTTGCACCATCAACAGCAGCAACAGCAGCAGCTAGCACACATGAATCATCATCAGCAACGCGGCACACGCTCCCATTCCATATCGTCGTCGGTGTCCTCGAATACGGCCTCATCGCTGCACTCGCATCCATCGATCGATTCGGCTGTTGTTGGTGCTGCTGCTGCCGCTGCCAGCAACACAACGCCATCGAGCGGCTGTTCGACGCCACAGAATCACTATTCACCATTGTTAACCAACTCACCTACGTCCACCGCTGCAGGTACTCCAAGCAATGGCAGCATTGCCAGCGGCCTGGGCTTTGTCTATCAGATCAGTTCACCAACGCCGCCCGCCAGCGCCGCCACCGAAGTGCTGAAGATAACGGAAGCATCGTCGTCAACCACGCCAGACACCGATGAACGTTCGCGTGCCTCGGTGCTGCAGAAAGCATCGATGTTTGAGAAGCAAGCAGCAGCAGCTGCTGCCCCACCAGCTCCTGTTCCAGCAGCAACAGCTGTGCCAGCGACCACAGGACGACGTGCCGAGGAGCTGCGCGCCGTGGAGCAACATGAAATGGGTAAGTCCTGAAGTCTTGAAGCCAACTGCACAGTCTGCATCCCAATTGTTTGCAATCTGCCCCTCCCACCGTCCACTTTTTGACCCTCCCCGCCTCTCTTGATTTTAAGCATTTCGTGATTTATCATAATAAAAACCTTTTACTTTCTTCCGTTTTCTTTTGGGTTTTTTACGATTCCTCCCTCTGCTCGTTTGATTTTGTCTCCCACCACGCACCATCTCGTTTCGTATACAAAAAAAAAAAAAAAACAAAATATTGCACCACACAACAACAACAACAACAATTCCACCAACCAACAACAACAAATAATTAGACAAATCTTTCGAAGATTCAATACAAGCATTAAATAATTTAATTGGCGAATTAGACTCCTTTCAACGTGAGATCGATGAGGGCAAAGGCAAGCAGCACGGCAGCAACATCAACAATAGCAGCAGCAACAACAACAACAACAACAGCGGTGCCTCCAGCAGCAGCAGCAGCAATGAGAACAACAATACCAATGAGTTGCTGCTGCTGCCCGGCAACAACATCGATTGCTGTGCCATCAGCAATCAAACGAACTCGAGTGGCTGCGGCACCGATATCTCCGACACCACCTCTGAGGATCTAGGTGCGGGGGACGGCGATGCCCAGCGACAACGGCAATTGGGCGCCAGCGACTCGGAGCTCAGTCGCTGCTATGTGAGCGAGACGAGCTCATTGACCGGCGGTCTCTTGGCCGGCGGCTATGAGAATCCCACATTTGCGCACTTTGCCAATCGAGAGGATCGCGATTCGGATATTGCGCCACGGCATGCATATGTCGACTCATGCAGCGACGGCGGCAGTGCAGTCGTTGTCATCTACGATCATCAGATACCCAATACGCCGGACATTGAGTTTGTGAAACAGAATTCGGAGATTGTGCTGTTGCGCACCAAAGATCCGCAGCAACTGCAGATGCACGAGATGCGTGAACTGCAGCAGCTGCCTGACAATCTGGCTGGCTCACCCGAATCGCCGGATGGAATGAGTAGCTCCAACGTCTCGACAGCAACTGTTGCGCCTGCTAAACAGCGGCTCTCCTCGTTTCGTGCTTCCAGCGAGCAGCAACTGCAGCTGCTCGGACGCGCCAGCCCGCACAGAGGTACGGAAAAGTTTAGCCTTAGTCTAGAGCAGCAACAACCACAGCAGCAGCAAGAGCAGCAGCCGTCGCAGCAGTTAGCGAGTGATAGCAGCAACATTGCAGTTCGGCGTCCTTTGCCGCCCAAACCAATTAGCCTGAGTATATTCAATGAAACGGGCAACATCAGCAGCAGCAGCAGCAACAAGCCAGTGATACCTAGAAAATTTGATTTTAAGGCTGACTTAGATGCCAAAATACGCAAACAGAAGCTAAAAGTGCAGCAGCAATTGCAGCAGCAGCAGCAGCAACAACAACACTCACCAACAACATCAGCAACAACCAACAGCACAACAACAGCAAACTGTAATATCACTAAACCGCCTGCCCTTATTGCATCCGCATCCGCCAACAACAACAACATTAATCATAGCAGAACAGCAGCATCTAATCATATTCAATCATACACATCAGCAACATCAACAATAGCAAACACAACAGCAACAAATGCGACAAAGCTGTCATTGCCAACATCAAATACATCAGCTTCATCATCATCTTCATCAACATCAATATCTACATCTACATCAACATCTACATCATTAGCTACATCAGCTGCGCCCGCCTTGTTGCCCACTGTGCCTGCCAAACCAAACGCCAATTCATTTGTGTGCCCCACTGTTAATGCCCATGCCACAATCCCAGCTACAGTAAAGCCCTGCATCACGCCCAGGCCGGCTTCGTTGTCGGGTTCGTTTCGTTTCTTTTATCTTTTTGTTTTTGTTTCTCACTCGCTTTTCTTCTGTTTTCCTCACGATTTAACCCTGGAAATTATTGGTTCTTCTCATTCGATTTCTTTTGGCTTTGGTTTTCTGCAAAAGTTTTTTGTTGTTTTGTTTCCGCTCTAATTTGTGATCTTGTTTTTGTCTTAACCTGGCTTTGGAGGAAGTTCCTAACCAATTTCACTCATCAACTCACACAGCACCATTTACATAAATACAACCACTACTTTATATACCAAGGCTAAGAAAAGAAGGTTCAAATCCTGCAATGGAAGTATGATGCACCACTGTTCAATTTTAGAATAGTTTTGAGATATACAAAATGACGATGCCTACATATCAATGTTAATTGAAATCTCAGAAATATTGAAAGAAAACATATATATTTGGCATGTGGAACGTATTTGAAAACCATGGCAAATTGAGTTTACAGCAGCGGCTGTGGTTTGAGCTCCGTGCCACCTCTTTGATCATAGACTAGGCAAACTAAAACTGAAATTTTTTATTATATCTGAAAATGGAATTTAGATACGCATAAAGAAACCTATTATGGATTTAGGATTTTTGTGGGTTCGAACCCTGGACTACATTTCTCAGATTGTACAGTGAAAATAAAAAACTGAAATTGATTTTTAAAGAACTCGAACCGTTCGCTAACTTTCTGAGAACTTACTAAATACACTTCCATAAAAATTCTGATGTCGATACTAAAAACCAATTGGTATTCTGGAACATATGGTGCACAAATTTACATGGGATTTGAACTATAAGTTTAACGCCCTGGTATATATATATAAAGCTCATTTACACAAAAAAAACTGCACGTTAACTGCGACTAATTGCAACACAGCTTAATACTAAACAATAAATAAATATATATACAGATAAATATCGTAATAATCGCTAGTATTGTGTAATATAATTGGAATTGTTTGTTCTTTAGGCGTCACAAAAAATTTCAAAAAATTGTTGGGAAAATTGTCTAGAAATTTGTAAATTTCGTTATTTTTGGGTGTCGGAAAGTGTATCTAATATTCGAGTTAATGTTGTGACTAGAACTGATATACAGCTCTATATATATATTATGTGTGGTGTGTTCTACTGTGTATATAACATTAATTAACTAAGCTTGAAAGAGTTATTTATGAAAAGGTTCGCTAATATGCCAAAAATTCACAGGAGGAGGAGGAGGCGCAGCAGGAGGATTAGGAGCGGCAGTGGTTGGCTCTACACGCATTGCACGTCGTTCTTCCATTAATCAGGCCAAGCCACCGCCGCCAGTGCGACGCAGTTCCTCAGTGACGCCCAGCGCTAATAACGGGGTAAGTTTAGCTCTAAATTAATAAAAAATAAAAAAAATAATTTTAATAAGCCACTAATTAATTAAGTTAAGTCTTAAGCTTAAGCTAAGTTGAGCGAGAAAATCATTATGCTTAAGTTGAAATTGTTTTAAGCTGCAATTGTAGCTGGAGCAACAGCAACATTAACTCAATTTATTATAAACAATTTATAGAATTAATAATAATTATATATTTAGAGTTGTCTTCGATCCACACTAACTTTGCTCTAAGTTTATTTTTATTTATTGCCCATGAATTTAGCTGCAACAGCAGCAGTTGCAGCTGCTGCAACACAGCTAACAACAGCAACATTTAGATTGAAAATATAAAAATTTATTACTAATATTAAGTTGAGAGTCGTCTACAATCAGCACACTATTTTCTATTATTCCTAAGTTAATTTTTTATTTATTGCTTATGATTTACGTTGCAACAGCAACAGCCCCAGCAGCAATTGTCGCTGCAGCACAGTAACAGCAACATTAGCTGCTCCAGCGAGCATTTGCCACCGCCGCCCGCGTTTATGCTTGAGGCTACAGCGGCGATGCCCAGCTCGGCGCTCAAAGTGTCGGAGACGGTGCGTGCTTTGGCTGCTATGCGGCATCAGCCTGCCTCGCCCGTTGCGCTGCGGCGCATGCAACAGCAACAGCAGCAGCAGCAACAACAACAACATTCTCTACAGCAGGTGTGTGCTCCTATTCTACGGCTTGAACTTTCTGCTTTCTGCACTTTATTTATTTACTTTGATTTCATTTTCATTTTCAATTCACACACCACCAACACCAACACCACAACAACAACAACACATTGCTTGTTTATACACATTAGCCCATGCACAAGCCCTTGCCTAGCTTAGAAGCTGACTATGAGGCTTATTATAATAGCTATATGGAATTGCATGCTTATGCTCAAGCCACAACAACAAATTACACACAGCAGCAACAACATCAGAATCAACAACATCAGCATCAACAGCAGCAGCAACAACGCTTTATTCAACAGCAGCAACATCTTCAGCTACATCAACATCATCAACAACAATTGCCACCTACGCCGCCTCCTTACCAGGCGCCACCTCAGTTAGATGCCGTAAGTGCTAAATACATTGTTGGCCACGCCCACTAAACAACTAAAACAGAGGAGGCAACGCTGCTCAACGTCTACTAAAACATTTTAATTTAGTTTTTAAGTATAACTAAAAACTTAGCTTAGTATAACATGCATAATTAGACATATAACATAGATATAGCTAAACATATTCCCACTTATGACATGCACAGTGAACACTCACTTGAGTGAATATACTTTTACAGTAAAAGCTCTTTAGAGTGAACCTACTAATTCAACTTATGCCTTGAACCTCTTGCAAATGCTTGATATCCATCAGCTCGCAAGTACAGTGGAAGCTCGCTTGAGGGTCGCAACTGTAGCTTTATTTTCATGTACAGTAAAATCATCTAACATAGAGATCCTGCCTATGCCATAAAACCTTTGCAAATGCATTCGCTCCGCCTTCTGCTGCAATTCCCACTCTAGAGCTTTTGCTGTTAATCATCTTGGCTTAGTTATTAATTTATTGTTTACTTTTTTCATTTCTTCTTCTTCACACACACGCATCAGCAGTCATATCGCACCACATCGCCCTGTGCTGCCGGCGCTGGCAGCAGCATCTATGCACAGCCAAAAATTGTGAGCAACATGTCCAGCTTCCGCAGCAGCAGCCCCAGTCCGAATGGCCACGCCCATTCGCTGCCACCGACACAACCGAAGGCCAATCCGAATCTAATTGCACAGCTAAATGCACGACTCAACAGCAAGCAGCAGCAACACCAACAGCAACAACAGCAGCAGCAGCAGCAGCAGCAGCAACATGTTGCTGAGGGCATTTATGGCAATACAATTGGCAACGAATCCATTTACATGCGCAGCGGTTTGTCCATGCAACAGCAACAGCAGCAACAATATGACGGTAAATTTGAACATAAGCTAGCACAACAGCAACATAGAATATATGCAGCATCATCATCATCATCGACGGTGGCTGCAGCTGGTGTTGCTGTCAGCAACAATGCAGCAGCAGCAACTGTTTTAACAGCATCCACATCTAGCAACTCTTTCAATGCTTTGCCACACTTTCCGCTCTCATCATCCACATCATCTTTGCTCTCTAAAGTCAGTTCATTTTCAAATTCATCAACATCATCGCCAACAACAGCAGCAGCAGCCGCAGCAGCAATGACTGCTACCAACAACATGTCTCACTATCAGCCGCCACAAGCGCCTGCAGCAAGCAACAATTATACAAATTCGTTTATCAAAAATACAGCAGCTGCGCAAACAGCAAACATGCGACAACAGCAGCAGCAGCAACATCTGCAACAGCAGCAGCAACAGCAACACTATACTTGCCCGCCACCGCTTGAGGATCCCCCACCGCCGCCCATTTACTCAGCAACAATGCCTAAGAAAATGGCACGCGGCAATGTTGCACATAGCAACAACAGCAACACTAACAGTGGCAGCAACATGTCCAATCATGTGATGACCGCAACGCTGCCCAAAAACATATTGCAACAGCAACGTTTACAACAGCAACAGCAACGTTTGCAACAGCAACAACAACAATATCAACAGCCTTCGGGCCCTGGCATGGGTATGGGCAATGGTCATGCTAATCAACGTGCAGCCATGCCGTTGCCACAGCAACAACAACAGCAGCAGCAGCAACAATTGCAACAGCAACAACGACAGCCACCTTTGCCATCGCGTCATTCCAGCGTGCAGCAAAAGATATTTGTATCAACGAATCCATTTATACAGACCACAGCTGTCAAGCTACACTCGACACCGCCCGCTGCCTCGCCCACTTGTGGCTCACCTGTAGCGCTCGCCAGCATTTATGGCACCACAGCGCGTGGCGGCAGCAGCAGCAGCGCACAGCAGCAACAGCAGCAATATTATCGCGATGTTGCTGGCGGCAATAGCAATGGAGGCGCTGTTTACTATGCGGCTCACAACAATAGCCACGCCCATTCGCACGCCCACGTGCCACATCATTCAAGTGAGCTGCGCGTTTGATATTTGACTTTGATTTGATTGCAGCGCTGTTCATTTTGTATTGTTCTTTATTTTCGTTAATTTCTTTTGCTAATTTGAATTGAATTGCATTTCTAATGCGTCGCCAAATTGCATGTTGCTTTTGTTGTGTTTTTGTTAAGTTTGAGTTGTGATTTATATGAAATATTCCATAAATGGTATCAAGAGAAGGAGTTGAGCCAAACAGCCAAACAGGAAGTGGACAAGGAGAACAATGAAAATATATATACGAAATATCACGACTCTCTCATCTCATTACCTAAAAATCTGATCTGAATGTCATACCAACTCACTGTAAACTTATTTTGATGAGGCTTTAGATATACATCGATGTGCATATACGAGATCTGTTCAATAGTATTGAATATACTTAATTTGCGATACTTTTTGAACGGATCTCGCATAACTAAAACAACTTGCAGTGATAATTTCTAATACATTTTCTATACCTCACATTGTCTGACTTATATTTTAACTCTTTATTTGATTTCTTTCACTTGAATATTATCTTTATATATATATTTTGTTTATCTGCATTATCTGCATTGTTCTTAGTTCGATGTTCAACATTTGCTTAAGCTCTCTCATTCGATTCATAAACCTTGTACATTTCTTAAACGTTTATCAACTCATTCGGTTTTTGCTTCTCTTTTTTATGTGCGCACCCTTTGTGCACCCCACATCATTCATCAATCAATCAATCAATCGATCGAACACCATTTGCTGCTTAGACTATGCCGCTAGCACCAATATCGAAAAGACTGGCAGCATTCGTGCCAAGACCAAGGCTGAATTTCTTGAGAATCTCAATGCCAAGCTGGCCAAACAGGGAATGTCTGGACGTGCATTTGCAGTGCGAAATCTAATCAACAGCAAGGCCCTGGTAAGTAGAGCATCAGTCACATAACACCTGAGGCATTTCCTACACAATTATACTCTATAATATATGTAAAACATATATCATGTACTTTCTCTTAAACATATACTATACGATGATTATACTATACTAAACTAAACTTTTTTAATACCATACACTATGGTAATTCATTCTTCATATATTATCTACTATGGGAGACAATAGCATACTATACTATATCATATACTATAATACATGATTTAATATATATATAGATACTCAACTATATATTATCCTAAACTTTACTATATACTATGCAATACTCTATCTATTAGATACTATTCTCTACTATACAATACTACACTATATACTATCCTATACTATATACTATATCATATACAATATACTATATGCTGTGACTGTGTTGTGCGCCATATTTAGATGTATCAGAATCCGCAAAGTTTGGCGCGCCCCAGTGTTCAATATCGTAGACCACCCACCTATCCCAACACCAACACCAACACCTTTGTCAACAACACCAACACCAATACCAACTCCAATTTCAACAACAATATCAACAGCACTTGTGATGAACAGTGTTAAGGTATTCATTTTGTTTTCGTTTCTTTTGCGTTTTGTGTTCCTAACTAAAAGCCCGAGTTGAAATGCGCATTAACTGCATATAGTGTACTATATGTTTAAATATATAAAAGCTTCAATTGATAGATATATATTAACATAAATAGAGATCTAATTGTTATTCATTTTTACCAAATTCCAGCCGGATCCTCGCATTTGTCATGAGTCGCTGATGGATCAAATAAAACGTGGAGCGACCTTGAAACGCAATCAAAAGATCAACGATCGAAGTGCGCCCAAAATACATTAATTTAATTAAAATAAATAATAATATAGCATGGAAAAATAACTATTGAGGCCTGCTCGACTGCAGAGTTTTATGGCGAGTTTAGTTTGAAACTAAGAAAAGCTCACATTAAATATAAAATATATAACTAAACACACACTCACACACATACATACATTTATGATTACATATATAACTGATAACTGATAACTATGCGTATATAATATATATAAATGATATTTATATCAAAATTGAAACACTTTCAAACAATCTGTAGTGTTTTGTCGTCTCTAAAAATTGATTTTAATTCGAATTTTTCTTACTTTCCTATACCTATATCTACCCTTTATATATATTGTATTCACATCTAAAAAATTTTTGTTAAGTAAAAACAACAAAATTAATTGAAGTGTAAAATGAATAACTTTCGTGGATTATTTTTTTAATTTAAACTCGAATTTATTGTTAGTTGAATTAATATATTATTATTATTATTTATATATTATAATTATTTAATTCCTTGTTTTATGTACATATTCTATATAATTTACATATGACGCCCAATAAATGAAATTGTCGTATCATATATATATACTACATAAAAAATATTCTAAAAATTTCTTCGCACTTATTTTTTTTTTTAGTTTTCTTTTAACTCAAGTCAATTTTAAGATTCTAAATATTTTTAACATATATGAAACATATAGCTATAGAAGCTATATAAATAATTTTAGGCTAAACCATATATAAATAATATATAGAGTTTTTAAAGTCCCAACTGAACTAACATTAACTTGGAATCTTATATGGTAGATATATATGGATTCATATCAATTGAGCATTAAGCTATATGTATTTCTATTGGACTGAACCTTGAATTGTCATTTAAAATGCAACTGAGTAAACTACAAATCTATCATATATATGTATATGCTATATATCATTTGACTTCATATCAGTTACAAGAAATAGATCTGTAAACAAATTTTTAAAACACATTTTATGAAGAGAATAATTGGGTTTTTAAATGCTTGATAAATATATATACCTATATATATACATAGTGAAGCAACTTGTTGATAGCATTTACTATATACAATTTGGGAAGGCTCTAATCTATATTATCTGATACTCGAAAATGTTCTATGGCTAGTTAACAGACTTTTTAAAATATTTACAAAATATTTTGTATATACGCTTTTTAAGGCTTCAAATAATGTAATCGACAACTATATCGATATATCTATATCTTAACCAAAAGAGAGGGCAATAACTAAGCTACAAAAACTTCACTAGTCTTAAAAATTGTGGCAACATATATATACTATATATATTTTTTGGCAAAACATCTCTACTCATGGCATAAACATAAAAGAAGTTAATTAAATAACAATTATTTACAAAAGAAGAAAATAATCTAAATGTTAATCTAAATGTGTTTCTGTGTCAGCTAAAAAGAACAGATAATTACAGAAAGTTCATATATATATATATATATATACAATTTGAATTGGATCGAGTTGTAATGCGTATTTTTGAATTCATTTGCATTTAGGACATGAGCAACAATAATAAAATACAATAAATGTAAAAGCATTGAATGTAAACTATTCAGAAATGGGTTTATTTTGACCAGGGTTTGTCTACAAATATACATCGACACTTGAGACACACGAACATAACCAAATTGAGGCACATCGACGTCCTCAAGCCAAGCTTTGCCTCTTACTAGCACTCAAACAAAAATATTAAACGAATAGTCATTATGAGTGTGACTATTAAATCTCAACATACGTAAGTTAATTTCTTATATTTATATGTATACAGTCAATTGATCTGGTATGACTTGTAGCATCCGTGGACCTCAGAAATATATTTTTACAATAGAATTTATTTGGAGCTTTTGAAAAACAAATCCAATGTATTTTGATAGTAGATCTCTGCGAGCTGCTCCTTGGGCTGCTGTTTGATGCCCGCTATAACCTCGAGAACTTGACTGAAATACAAACAGTTAGTTGAATTTAAGCATAACTTCAGTTCTACAATGTATACTCACCTAATCTGACATGGTTCACTGCGTCCATCAATTAGCGTATCTTTAGTCCATTTCTCCTTCTTCTTGACAGTGGGAAATTTGGTGGTCACATGCTGGTGCCCCGCATGGGTGGGTCGTATGCCACACCAGGGGCAATCTGTTTCCAGCATAATTCGCTCATTAGGCAGCTGCTGCGCTACCTCCAGATTCTCCTTGGTCTTCAATGAGCAGCCATTCAGACCGATATACAGACCACCAAAATCCAATAGGCTCTTCGCCTCTGCCAATGTGCCTGTGAAACTGTGCACAACTCCGCCTCCACAGGTTTCGAGTTTTTCTCGATTACGTTCCAGAATTTTCATAAAATCCTCATGAGCATTTCTCATATGCAGGAAGAGCGGCAATTGAAACTCCTCCGCCAAGCAGAGCTGTTTCTCAAAGTACTCCAACTGTGTTTCCTTTGCGCAGAAATGCAATCGATCATAGTCCAAGCCACATTCACCGACAGCAATTACCTTCTCTGGATTGGCCTTGATTCTCGAACGCAAATCGTTATAGTATTTCGCCGGATCGGATAGAAATTCGCCGCAGCGTGTGGGGTGGGCACCCACTGTTGTGTACAGTCGATCTGCAGAATAGGCAGGGTTAATGTTTAGTTTTATCAATCCTCTATTTAAATTAACTAGCCATCCTTTGCAGCCAGTTCCAGTGATTCATCTACATCTTTAATGCAGCCAGACGTTATAATTATCTTTTGTAAACCATTTTGCCACGCGCGCTCTAATACAATATCCAAGTCTGCTGGATGTTTCGTAGAGCTGCCGTAGCAGCCACGATACATGGAATCTGTTAGATTAGCACCAATATCTATAAAGATCTCATTAGTTTTTTTTATTTTTTTAATATTTGCTTTTACTTGCCAATATATTTTAAGGCCATTCTCAAAAAAGTTTTTGTATGCATTAAAATGTGCTAAAAAATGCCAAATACCGGCATGGTCAGCTGTTGCATTTAAGTAGTTCAACAAATACTCAATATAAAGCGCACTGACTGATGTCGTTTAATCGAACCTTTTTAGATAGACTTACATCAGCGTAATGCAACCAAAAGCTCCTAGATGGCGCACCTGTAACAAGACCGGTTTTATAACAGTCAGCTTTTTGTTCGAAACATTTGGCTTATTTTGCAAAGTAGTACCTCAAACTGGCGACAGATGACTTCTAAGTAGGCGGGTTTTTTAAAAATATTCAGCTGTGTGCGCATAGCAGTTGGTATTGCCACCTGACTCCAAATTACTGCTAGATGTCGCAAGTGTTATTGACGGTTATCGTTTAAAGCTTAGATCTTCAGACTGCCGCTTTAACCTATTTTATAATTTTTAACGAGCCGACGAAGTTTTGCAGGGAAAAGTTCACTTTTATATAAATTGTCATATAATAAGCCCTTTTAACAAACTTGGCCCATTAAATCCGATAAACTGCAAAATCAATGCCAGCGAAAATTGCATTTGAAATTGTGCATAATTTCGACTAATTGGGTCGCAGGCAAAGCTGTTTATTGCATGGCGGAGCAGCACACAAATAAAATAGGTCTATATATATAGATTTAGCGTGCGTGCGTGGCATCACATCTGCCAATTTCGCATGGCGTGTGCCGTGCCCAATACTCGAATATGGTAAATAAATCACAGCTTTTGGCGCTCGCGCTTTGCTACCCATTTTTGGTATTCGAAGTTCAATTGATTTTAATGCAGTGGCATTTTGCAATTGACATTTACATTTACATTTACATTGCGTTCCTCATTTTATAATTTGAATAAAATTCCATTAGTTACTTTTAATGGATATTGCGGTCGGCCATAGAACGAAGCGTTGGCAGTGTGGAGACTAATTTAATTGATTTAGAGTCAGCAATTGATGCGGAGGCAAATTTCCAACTAAACATAATATGAAGGTAATTTATAATGTGATGCGACCAGACGTTATTAATACATATGTGGGTCGAATAGCACTGTGTACTCTGTCAGCTCTGCTGTGGGCGTTTGCCTTTAATGACAGCTAATGCACAACAGTAAATTTAATTGGAATTCAAACATAATTTATCGACCCTGTAGTGAGCAAATGATAATTGGCCATAACTGCAATTGATGTGGAGGGATAGAAAAGCCAAAGACTTGGATAAGTTCAACATTATCCACGTGTTTAGCTGGATTATATTTGATTTCTATATAAATCTCAGCTTTGACTGCAATTGATAAAAATCTCGTAGTTCCGATTCGCTTTCAATAGGAATTTTCGACTAGTTTGAATTAGTTTTCTGTTGAGTTATTTTCTACGATATATATAAGATAGATATTTCTAAATTGAAACAAAATAAGTTGTTTATTTTCAGTATTTAAATGGACACATTTAGTAAGTTCTTTTATTTGGTTTCTGTTGATATTTCAAAAATTAATTACATTTCATATGTAGAGAAGATATTTATGAGTAAATCGTCTTTGATTTTGTTGAATTTTTTTTAATTTTTCTAGTTTTTGATTTTTGTGTTTTTTAGTTTTTCATTATGAACAATTTGAATTACGTACACAAATATATATATATATATATACTTTCTATATATATATATTTTGAAATATTTTTTTTGATTTCAGTTTGTTTTTTCTTTAACAAAATCTATACATATATATATATATATATATATATAAATATATATATATACATACAGCATTAATCGACAAACAAACAATTACTAAGTAGATATTGGTATATATATTAGTATAACTGTCAAATGCGGCTCGCCTTTAGTTGTGTTCCCCGTTTGTCTGATACAGCTTAGATTAGTTAGTTAATCGCTTCATTTAACTACATTTAGTAACAATTTGTATAAACAATTTTTTGCTTAACATCTAGACATGCCTTAAGCCTAAAATACAATTTAGCTTGGACGTCAAACCAATCCATATACATATATATATATAGGAATATATATATATATATAGTGTTTTTTATATATTTCATCACAATTCACTTTGCATCTGCCTTTTTGCTGTTTCTTTCAGTTGTGCAACTTTTTAACAAAGAAAATTTAAATATTTTATTAATTTTTAAAAAAATAATATAATTAATTTAATTTAATGTTTTTCATTTCAAATTTGACTTAGTTAACAGCTAACGCTCTAATATTTATTGCATACAAAATTCTCTTCTTTATTTGATTGGCTCTTAAATTGGATTTGCTTTTTCTTTTTTGGCAATTATCATGCACCCTGTATTATCCTTGAATAGATTTTAATTTTTTTATTTATACTTTACTTTTTGCTCGTTCACAGTTTTAGCCGGAGGAAATGAGTAAATTGTTGCCGTCTGCTATCTGTCGTCGCCCGTCAGCCTGGCATCAGCTTTGTAGTGCCTGTTGTTCTGGAGTGCTGCGACTATTGGCATATGCCCCAAATCAAGTTGGGCTAAGCCAATTCATTCACAGTTTGATTTGAACATAAGTCTCAAGTTTGATTTGATCAACAACAATTTATTACACTTCGACTCGAAGTTTTTGATCTGTTTAACCCATCTGTGTTGAAGTTCCCTAGCAACTTGCACAGTTTTCATACTGGAACTGCTTAAGTTGGGACACTGTTGAACTGCTCTAAATTCCATAGTTTCTATGCTGGAATTTATAGATATTTCAATCAAATTTCGCTGTGAACGAGTATTTCACAGTCGTCTATGCCCGATTGCAAAGTGCTTACTTGTTATATATTTTTATATATTTTATTTTATTTTCCTTTATTTTTGTTTTGGTTTTGTTTTTGTTTTTGTTTTGCTTTCAACATAAATCTCTTGAGTTAAATCGCATTATACAATGCGCTGCATATTTGTATGTACGTTTCACACACAAAGCTCGAAACGTTAATTAGCAGCTCGCTTTGCATAATAGAGAAAAAATTACTTGGGAAAATCGCGCAAACACTTTTCCTCTGCTCTGAAAAACAAGGTCAGATTTTAGCTTTTTGAACATTAAGCAAAACCAACGAGATTTGGAATACCCAAATATATACATATACATATATATATATATATATATATATATATATAAACTACACAGATAGCTAAACATAATTAGTTTAAACATTTGAATACATTGTATTTGAATTGTTGCTAAACACCTACTTAAACTAGCTTAAGAATAGAACAAATTCAAATATATATATAATATATATATATACTTTATATATATTTTTATTCTGTATTTTCTATATCAAAGGAACTCTATATAATTGTCGCAGAATCTTCCAAAAATATTCCCAAAAGAAATTTCTAGCTAAATTGTTACTGAATCAAAAAAATAAACTTTAACATTCTGTATACCCTTCTTCCATTATAACGAATTTGATGTATCCTTATTCAGAGCAAACGATGTTTTACCTTTGCTATGGCAAATGCCAAACATACTCTACACTGGCATCATTTCATGATGACTTCTACAGACTCTTTCCTAGAAGATAATGTTCTAAGGTAACCTAAGCCCTGGCAACATTTTATATGTACTCTGGCATGGCATAATTATATGATGAACTTTTTTATATCCTTTCTTATGAATTGCTTTTATGATGCGCTCCGTATACCCTCTGGCATAAATGTGTGATGAGCTCAGTACTAAATTATCATTTAGCTTTCCTCTGGCACACATTTAAATCGAGCTACGTATTCACTTTACGATGGCTCTAAGTTTCTTTTAAACTCTGTGTACTCTGGCATAATTTGATGATGAACTCTAAACTCGCTATCATATGACATCATTTCTATACGACTAATGCTTATACCCTTTTCTCTCTGACAAAAATTTTGGTGTAAGAAAATGATTCGAAATAAAACTGGTCCCCTTTAAAAATGAGCATAAATTATGGATAAGATCTGAAATGGAATTGGAGAGGTGGACAGTAAACCACATGGGTACGCTTACTAATTAAAGCATAGACTACTAGATACTCTTACCAGCTAGAACTAAATTGCAATTGAGCAACTTTTTGGTTTTCTCTTTAAAGTATTTTCAGTTAATCGAGAACTGTATAACGTACACATAGATTCATATTTAACACATTTTATTTTATTATTATTATTCATATTTATTCTGTTATTATTTACTGCAAGTTACAGTCGTCGGATGCGTTGTTGATTTGCTGTTTGGTCTTGCGTGAAGCACGGCGTATGAGCGATCTAAAAAAATATACACAAAATTATTAACAATCTAGTGAGTCTGTATGCACTGAGAGAAACTGAAGGGTTATTAATGCATTGCATTACAAAAATTATAAATTAATTAGGGCATAGATAGAAAAAAAAAAAAATATATATATATAGAAGACGTGACCGTAGCTTCTCTTTATATTCGGTGTATTGCATACACTCAGCGAAAAAAAGTGATTATTAAAGAGAACTTTCTAGTCTAAGAGTTAAGCATAAAATATGCCTAAGACAAAGTTTATAAAAATGGATCAGTTCTAAGCTGCTTAAGCTTTCCTAGCTGCTCATGTAACTCTGTAAATTGCGTACACTTGGAGAAAAAATGTGCTACTAAAGGCAAGCTAGAAATGCCACAGCTTATGTTTACTTGAAGTTAGAGTTTCGCTGAAGTTGCTCGACTGTTTCTTCCAGTGTTCATACGCACCTGGAACGCGGCTTTAGCTTTGCCTCCGCACTGGTGCTGGCCACATCGACAGCGTCCACTAGGCTCGACTTCTTGTCCCCGCTCACCGAGGGGCTGTTCATGCGGTTTTTGTCTGCAAAAGAAACAAAGGCTTATATACATATATACATATATATATCGGGATATATAGCGCTGTGTATCAATAATAAACAAGCGACACTTTCGCATGCGTTCGCCACGCGAGACGTCGCACGTGCATGCAAATAAATGCGAAAATCCAATTTTCTGTTGGCGCTCGGCAATTTTTGTTGCCCTCTGTCAAATTGTGGCTACTGCAGCAGTAGTAACGCGGCAACTGCAAGTTGCAACACAGCCAGCACAC